TGTTCTGTCACATTTTCCCTGTAATGATTCCCAGGAAAGAGCTGTGTGAACTCTGAGTTACCTTTAGTTGACAAAAAAATCATGTGAGATGAAGCTAGAGGAGGAAACACGACTGAAGAGACAATTATTCTTCGTAAGTATAAATTCTGGTTTCTCAGCAAAAGCAGGAGGACGGCTTTGAAAAACATTAAGTGCAATATACTCAGTAAGTGGTGAAAACTGCCACATAATTTCTTCATATTTTATAAGATTTCCAAGTAAACCCAACTCAAAAGGCCCCCTAATCTGAGTTGTATTCTTTCCTGCCTTCTTTCTCTGAGAACCACTTTGTCCATCATCTCTTGCATTTAGCAACATTGTTTGGGACTTGTCAGCACAACTGTCATTTCAGTAACCTGTGCCTTCTCCAGCACAGTAACATAACATTTTGCATGCAGATCTCAGTGTTCCCAGCAATCCAAACGCTTATAGTCTCAGCTGGCAAAAGCATGGTTTTGTAGGTATGATTGTAGCTGCAACTCTCAAATAGCCAAAGGTGCTGTTACATAGCTCTTACTTTCAGTGACTACCCAAACCTCCTTTTCTCCCCTTGCTATAACAGCAATACAGCAGGGATCTATATTAAAATGTCCTAAAGGGCAAGAGTTTCAACAGAAAGCCAATGGGCTTAGCAAGTATCAAGTAGAAGTTGATGTGAAGCAGGACCGTTGCTGAATCAGAATTAGCACCCATAACTTTTGCTAGGAATAAAGTGTTTGTAAAATCTCATTTTTTAAAAGCATCTGAAACTTTCAGTGATCTAGAATTTTTGGAAAAATACCAGACTGTACTACCAAAGTGCTACAGGAATTAATATCTTGTAGTTTCAGATCAGGACTGATCACATCCAACTTGGCATCTGGAACAGCTTCTTGACAGCAACAGAAAGCTGTTCTAAGATCCCAACTTTAAAAATTAAAACTCAGTAGAACCTTGCAATAAAAAAAACCATAGTAGCACCCAAAATACCACTTGAAATTAAAAAAAAAAAAAGGGGGGGTATGTATACATATTTTACATATTTGTTGCTTATTTAATCCCATTTGTGTATAATGGTTTGGGTCCAAGTGCCTCTGGAACTAAAAAAAAATCAGTTATACACAGTTGGATACACACAGTCCAGGCTAAAATGGTACTAACAACATAAAGCTTCAGTTCCATAGACTGAACAATTGTCTTTGAAATGTTTTATTCCATTATGTCCAGAATACTTAGTGTTCTGAAGGACAGGATTCCTAAGTTACAAATCCATTTTCCTGTGATATCTGTCACCTGGTGATGGCTTTGTCAGCTATGAATATACTGGATTTTCCACATTTTTACAAATTATATGCTTTAGGAGCAGAGGGGTATAAGTTAATTTCTCAAATTTATGCCCCTCATCTGGAACACAACAAAAACATTTAACCTTTAATTTTCTAAGTCCCAATCTAGAGCATGAATCAAAAGAAACCCTTTCTTGAGAAGAGATGAAGTTGAGCTTGTAACCAGAAATTCCAAACACATGTTTTAGCTCAACGAGATTAGGATTTACATATCCTGAAATCACAGAGCAAGTCCACATGGGAACAATCATGAGTTATGTGCCAGATGTTTCTCATACATGCTACATGAAATTCAGGGAATGGTACAAATATAGGGAGAAATAAGTTACAGTCACTTTGTCTTTACTCCACAATAGCTAGAGTCCTCTGTGTATTTGCATATGTGCTACCTATGACTTCCAGGTGGCCATATATTAAAAAGTGTTCCCAATATTATCTCTTTTATTAACTGCACTTTATTTGTTGAATGTGCAGCATCCTTCCTCTTCCACACTATTTATTAAGTATCTGGAAAAATAAGCATAGTGAAGTAAAAAAAAAGACAACTGGGATTAATACAAAAAGAAATTTACAGAAACCTGAGGTATTCTAATCATTAAACTGTGCTCTGAGGACATGTGGTGAGAATCTACAGTTGCCAGAAAAATAATTTGATAAAGAAAAATACATAAACTTGAAAGAACTGAATGACAGCTGCTACTAGCCACATTGAAATGGTTGTCCCAGTGACACAATCACACAAAACAGGATTTTTTCTCATTAGCTTTCCTGATTTACAGTTAACACTCTCTTCACAATCCTCTCAAACAGAACCAGTGCAAAGACATATTACAAAACTGTCCTTATGCCATTTCAACCTCAAATACAAAGAAAAAATAATAATTATTTCATAGAAAACCCAGACATTTTTAATATATTTGTAGATGCTTCTAGTCCAGCAGAACTTGAACACTCCACAGTGCTAACAGCACTTTTGCCTTCTCTTCCTCACAGTTCATCTGAAGTGCTGTGAATCTCTACAAAACGTTCTCCAGCACATATTTTGTCTCCCATAGCCACACATGGAGACACCTGGAACACATTATTGCACCTGTAAAGTAGACTCCACACATTTTATTCACAAACAATTTTTCTTACTCTGCAGAGAGCTTATGTTTTCCATTTTTCCTGTTTGACTTTTCCAAATATTTCTGGAGGAACCAAATGTATAAACAGACACATAACAAAGTTTTAAGTTTCACTAGAGGTCTGAAGGAGACATTGCATCTGGCAGGTCTCTCAAGTGTTTTGGAAAGCCAACCTTCAGGCTGAAATCTGTGGTTTTTTCTTTCTAGTAAATAGATCTTTGCAATCATGCAACTTCTTTATGAATACACTTGTGCTGAGCATACAATATGATGAACAGCTACGGCTTCTCAAATTTTGTCATGTAGCAGCCACCACTGGTTATTCATTTGTTTAATCTCTTGGCATCATATTAATATGTATTTGATTGCAAAAGAAGACCATGGTATTAAGTAATTGAAATATTTAGCTGGAGAAACTTTTCAAGTCTCAGGCTATCAGAAAAGACAATCTGACAGAGCATCAGAAGCACAACCATAACAATTGATCAGAGAGGAGGAAACAGATTTTTTTCAAGGTGTAAAGAATCACTGCTAGAAACTATTGCAACTAAGTGGAAAACATATTCTGCTATACTGACTCTTACGAGATCAGTGAGGTGGTTCTGAGTACAAATTCAAGTCCCATAAGTCTCTCTGGCATGACCAGAGTCAGAAGTACTGTAGATTATTAACAATTTGATCTAGGTACAGGAATCCAGATTTGCAAAGGCACTTAAAACTGTGAGCCCACTGAAACAAGCAGAAGCCAGGCATATGTTTTGCCAGCATTGGTCTCTTTTCCTCTTTAGAATTTAGTACTAAGAAGCATTAAAACCTTGCAGATAATCTCTCAAAATTTTATTAATCTGCAACTTGGCTATGAAAACCTTGGTACATTTTATCACAAGACTGACATAATTTGATCATACCATACTTTGAGACACTGTGATGATCACTACTTAAATGTTCAGGGGGGGAAAAGAAAAGCCTAGATTGGCTGAATTATATATATATTGTGATTCCTACTCACCGGGAAAAGGTAAATTCACCCTGGGGTGAGGGGTGGTGGTTTTGTTTTTCTTTTTTATTGTTGACAAGACTAGCAAGTGTACTGTATACCAGAGAGATATTTAAGTGGAGCGGTAAGACATTCTGAAACAATGGTCATGCATCTCACAGCATATAATGAGATACTAGTTTGAAAACCAATGTAAAAGACTTCCACTTCACTGTGATTTTACTTTATAGTAAATTTATAGTAATTTTATAGTAAAAATTAGCTGGCTGTAAAATTGCAGTGCATTAGATGTTCCACGGTAAACTTACACTGACCTACCTGGAATCACTGTCAGAGTAGATTAATGGAATTCCTAAGGTAAACTGATATAGCTACCATAGTGCAAATTCATAACTAGTAGCAACTGCTACCTTCAAGGGGAATGATATACAACAGTGAGCAAGAACATCATCTTGTATCTAGATGAGTCTAGTATCTTCTGTATATACTTATCTTTACTGTTTGTAATACTTTGGGTTATTCTAAAGGAGATTTATCCATCACAAAAAGTTATTAATCCACTTCCAGATAGTTTGCTTAAGAAACAGCAGCAAAATACTAAATGCTGTGCTCCATCTGCATGGAGCAAGGAAGAATGAAAGAACAAGCAGCATAAGCTTACTGAAAGCTCTGACAAGTATTTTGAAGGCAAGACTAGGAACATTTGCTGTTTCCCTTGACCTCTCTTGCTTCAGCAGATCATATACGTTTTCTGTTACACTTCTCAAGTTGCAAAAAAACCTGCACCTCTCTCTGGTAACTGCTAGTGTTCTGCAAATAGAGGGGGAAAAGCTAAGACAGACAAAACCAAAAGCACCACTTATAATTACTTTTTTCAGGGTAGAATTCTCTTAGAATAATTCCCTCAGCTTTTTAAACAATCAGAAGCTTTAAAGTTTGGGTTCGTGAGTTATTCTATCTTTTCCACCAATTAGTCCTACTATCCCCGCATGTACTCAAAATTCTCCTTGGAAATTGAATTATCTGATGTGATAAACCAAGGTCATCTTCAGTGCTAAATTTTAAACTTTCATCGTACACTTCCATTTTCTGGTCTTCATTTAAAATCCCAATTTGCAGACTTACAAATCTATCTCCAGTGCAAAACAAATAAATATAAGCCCTTCCTGCAATTTTATCAGTCCTTTCAAGATTGCCAGAGAAAGAAGTTCAGAGAACAGAAACTTTACAAGAAATGCTGGTGTTATCAAAGCATTGGGCGCTTTGCCACCAGCGTTTGAAGGTATTTAATTTCTGGGCCGTTATCTGATTTCCGACAGAAATCCCTCCAGTGTCCCAAGTCCCTCCTCTGCTGCGCACAGCTGTGTCTCCGCGCTCCAAGCGTGTGAGCTGACGGAGAAACCGCCGCTCAGACCGCAAAGCCAGCAGGAAACCCGGGATCTTGCACAACTCCCGGTGCCTGCCGCTCCCAAGGCAGCCGCCCCCAGCCCCCGCCCAGGCGCCGCTCCCGAGCAGAGCCGCGGCAGCGCCGGGGTTGCAGAGCTACAGCCCGCCGGCATCGCTCCCACCGCCTCCTCCGCTCCGCTCCTCACGATGCCGGTGGGTGAGGGAAAAGCGGGAGGGGGGGGAGGCGGCAGCGCAGGAGGGTCCTGCGCGACCGCCGCCTGACGGGGCTTCTCCTTTCAGAGCTTCCTGAAGTGGCTGCTGGTGACCGTGGGGGTCGCCGTCGCGGTCGTGGCGATCACCGTGCCCCTGGTGCTGCTCACCGGCAGTGAGTGCGCGGCGGGGCCGGGAGGGGCGGGATGGGGAGGGAAGGGGGGCTCCCGGCGGCCGCCGGGGCTCGGAGGGGATCCGCAGCCGCGCCGCCCACGGCAGCGGGGGGAAAGTTTCGCGGAAAGTTTGTGCGGTAGAGAACGGGATCCATAAAACTGGAACTCCTGAGTCCGGGAAACTGGGAGGTGCGTCGCCAGGAGGGCGTCTCACCTGGGAAGATAGTGGGCGCGGGCAGAGTTAAAAAGACCCTTGATCTCCCCGTGTGCACTGGTAATAGTTGTAACCATTATCGTTTTCAGCATTTTCTGTTCTTATTGTGGCCCCGGGCTGTGAACCAGCCGTAAAATGCCAATTAGTCATTTTTCTGGGGTGTATTGAAGAGATAAGATTATATTCCCTCTCGTTTGCTGTGTTTGCACTTTTGTTAATGCCATCGAGTGATGTTATATAAACAGCACAGTTACAGAGGTCAGAAAAGTAGAAGAAGATTTGGAATGCAGTTTTGGACTCTGATCGGTTTGTACTTTTCAGGTTGGCCATGTGGCTCTGGATGTTAATATGAAACAGCATTAAATGCTCATTAAGCAATGCCTTGCTTCCAGCTGGTAGGACAGAGCTGCACCTTATTCTCATTTTGTGTTCTTACGATTAACAGCTGAGCAGTTGTGATATGTACAATCAGCACTGCAAACTCTAAGGAAGTGTTTTCTAGACTAGACCTTTGGTGGTCCACCAAAGGTGCACCCCAAGATGTGTGAAGATGCATGTGCTGATCTTGACAGTGTGTTCAGAAATGAACACAGCAATTTCTTATGTGCACAGAAAGTTCTGGTGGGTTTGTTGTATGTCTTTTAAAGAGGTGAAGCTTGTGTCACTAGTGCTCAATAGTCACTAGTGCACAATATAGCATAACTTACATTAAACTGTTTTGCAGTTCAGCTGTATCAATATCTCAGTCATTAAAAACTAGATTTTCAAAGTCCAGATATCTGAATTACATACCTTCTGGGCTAAAACTTTCATCAGTGGATGCTGACTCCCTTTTCTGTTATTTTTGGGCAGCTTTTTGCCACTTATCTCAAAAAAGCAGGTTTTTGAAATGACAGAAAATGCTCTGAATTTCACAAGTTGGGAAGAGCAAGAGAAAGGGTCTTGATAACTCATCAGATGGATATGTGCAGGCATAACACCTAGTGAAAGAATTCAGTATGCAGGCCTGAACTCTGCTGAAGAGATGGTGCTTGTCTATCTTGATGCCAATTCTATGTCTTACTGTGAGTCAGATGGGTTTTCTTCCTTCTAGCATAGAAATTCTTCTGCTGTAGAAGTGGCTGCAATTCAGGACCAGTCACTCAGTTGTACAGTAAATTCATTTTACTTCAAAGAAACACTTCTGTTGTATGATATACAGAATACCACCATGCTGTCAGCCTTGGCTTACATCGTTTTGGTTGTAGGAAAACGAGGCAGTCTTTTTACTGTTGGCTCAAATTAAGACATAGGAAATTGCCTAGCATGCCCCAGTAGTTCACTAAGTCTCTCTGGATAAAGTATGAATTGAGATGGAGTGGTACCAGTTCAAAAACTTGAATTCCTGTCTCTTCCCGAATCAGGCCAGCAGAAACATCTGAATAACAACTGTGACCATTGTAATTCAGGAACTGCAGGGTGCTTTTGAATTTTTGACTGTGCTAAACAGATGTTTTCTGTTAGCTGAGGGTATATAGTTGGTGTTCTTATAAAGTAGTAATTTATAGGTTAGAGCACTTAATGACTGACAGTTTGAATATATGGTTTTTATTAACAATCATAAGGGCATGTAAGTTAGCTGAGGATGCCTGCTGGGCCATGCAGGTACTCGCCTGAGTACGAAATGAAAATGGCAAAATTACATTTGGGATGAGCAGCTTGCATGACTATGACTACGTGGGATCAAAGTCTGCTCTGATCAAAGTCCTTATAATTGCAATTAAGTCTTTATTTCATCCCAGTTGTTCAAGCATTGTACAGGGAGTGAAAATGATGATTATTGATACAGATTTTGAGTTTGACTTTCTTACATTTGGTGTGCAACTGTTTTCCCTTCCATGCTTCTCAATGTACTTCCCTGTCATAAGCTTAGTAGTCATGCAGCACATAACTAGTTTGATAAATGGGCTCCAGTGCTGTGAAAGGTTGTGCAACTTTGCCACTCCAGAGGAGTTCTGGCTTGTTGCCTGGCCTGTAGGCCTGGCAAGTAGAACTTCTGTTTCTTCTCTTGCAGCTGTTCAGCGTGGAGAAATACTTCAGACTTAAATTTGCAAAAAGTCTCCCTAATTTTGGTTGCAGCCCTTTGCTGTTTACCTCGAGGGTCTTCCCAGCCAGAACTCTGCACACTCTGTTTCCACTGCCTATTTTGACACCTTATTTTATATTTAAAACCACATGTGACTACTTTCATCAAACGGTTTAATCTCAAAATAGCCTTAGGGGTTGTATTTGAAGTCTGTTGACTAAAGCATTGTTATGCTTTGAGGAGCTATCCAACAGGTGACTATGGTAACAAGTGGTTACCTTTAAAGTATGAGTTTTTTCTAAAAAAAATTTGGTCTGTCCATGATGCACTTACCCATTTACTTTACTTACTTTCCATGTAAAAGACAGATTGAAACATCCCTAGTCCATGTACCCTTTATCTCTTCTCTGACCACAGTTCTTGTTCTTCTGGCCAGCTGGGCAGGAAGTCCAGGAGCAGGAGTATGAGTAGCAAATGCTGAGAGCAGGAAGGAGACAGTGAAGTATCATTCTGCTGCCATGAGAAGTCATAAGTGGCCTTAGAGTGAGGTGTCCTGTACAGCTGGTACAGCTTCCTTCACTCACAGGTCTAATTCTCTAAGGGTGAGATATTCACTAAATGAGAAGGTCATCACTGTCATGATTAGATGATGCTGTTTCTGCATCTGTGGTCTAATAGAAACATACCTAGAAGAGGCTGGAAAGCGCAGCAGGGGCTGGGGCAGTTAGTGACCTTAAGGTGTCTGAGGGTTCTTCGTGAGTCTGAAAAGGAAGGGAATGGAAATGTTTTCCTGCTATACATCCTTGACTTCTGTCACTGTCATTTAACTCATCCACCCTAATTCAAATGTTGAGTAATATCACACTAAAAAAAATTATCAGCAGTGGATTGCTATTTGCAGAACCCTTCTGCTATTTTTATTTCCTTGCTTTGCATGAGATGAGGTAACTTTGAGAGGGATTCCAGAGCTACTGATTACAAAGTTAATGATTATATCCCTCTGGGATAGTCTCTGCAACCCCGTAGAGTGGCTCTTGGATGAACTGCCCCAGGTGCTCACTCATTGGTTATGGTCTCTCCTGAATGTCCTGTATCAGCTCCTGAGTGGAATTCTGAGTGAAGTGAACCTTTGGCCTGACACAGCAAAGTGGTTTTTACATACGTTTTTTCTGGAAACGTACTTCAGTGCTCTAATTGTCACATATCTCAGGCAGTAACTGTGGGCTTGAGTGTACATGAGGGGAAAGAGCAAGAGCACTTTTTTACACATGTTGGAATAGAAATGAGGGGGAATAGGAAGGTTTGGAAGAAGTAGCCTGAAATGTCTCTTACTTTTCTAACCACTGAATAAATTGGGTTTCTCTTGCATCTCTCCTGCTGCTCCTAAATTACATTCTTAGACAGCAGATTATTCTCACTCTTGTTCTGCTGTTGCTTTAAAATTGAGATAATCATTCACCTTTTCTGATTTTTAGCATCTCTCTATCCCTGTCTCATTATTACTCAACATCATTCTTGTACTTGTCTTTCCCTTTTTGTGTTTATTTCCAGTCTCTCTCTTGGTTGTGGTGAATGTGCAGTAAAGCTTCCATTATTCCTGCTTTTTATAGTTTTCCATCACTTTAAAGTCGGTTGCATAATTTCTTACTTTTTTTTATTATTATTATATATGAAAATTATTAAAATGCACCTTGACACCCAGGAATAAACAATACGTATACCAAAAGTAATTTGTCAACATCTGTAGGTTTTGGTATGGTGATTATCATACCATAACCCTTACACAATAGTTAACTTCTTGTTTACTTTATAGATGTCCTGGTTGTGGCTGGGAATCAGGTAATTTTCTTCCTAGTAGCTGGTACAGAGCTCTGTTTTGGATTCAGTGTGAGAATAACGTTGATAACACGCTGATGTTTTGGTTGTTGCTAAGTGGTGCTTGCTCTAAGTCGTGGACTTTTCAGTTTCCCAGTGAGCAGGTGCACAAGGAGCTGGGAGGGAGCATGGCCAGGACACCTCACCCGATCTGGCCAACGGGATATTTCATAGCATGGAATGTCATGGTCATGTAAATGGGAGGGAATTGGCTGTGAGATGCCAATCACTGCCCAGGGACAGTCCCTGGGCATTGGTCAGTGGGTGGTGAGCAATTGTATTGTGCATCACTTGTCTTTCTTGGGTTCTTTTTCTTCCTCTCTCTCCTTTTCATTACAAATATTATTACTATTCTTAGCAAGATTGTATTTAACTTTAGTTCAATCATTAAACTATTCTTATCTCAACATATGGGTTTTATCTTTTTCTGATTCTCCTTCCTATTCCCACTCAGGATGGGGAGGAGAGAGAGGAAGAAAGCGAGTGGCTGAGTAGTACTTAGTTGCTGGGGTTAAGCAATGTCAATACTTTACACCTGCAGAAAGGGTGACGTATTAATAAAAAATTCCAAAAGGGAAACAAAATTGTTTAACAACCTCATATGAGTACTACTTACATAAAAGGTTAAGAGCCTTCTTCCCAGAAGGACTTACTTATATTTTTGCTGTTGTAACAGGGGTATTATGATGTTATTATTTCCAGTATATCACTATGACAGTGGAAATATGTATGTACTGCCAGGAGTGAGAATAGGATAGAGATGAATCATAGAATCATTAAGATTGGAAAAGACCTCCAAGATCATCAGGTCTAACCTTTGACTGAACACCACTTTAGCAACTAAACCATAGCACATCCAGTCATTTCTTGAACACTTGCAGGGATGGTGATTCTTGCCTGGGCCCACGTGGGCCCACTTGCCTGGGCCCTTTCCAGTGCTTAACCACCCTTACAGTGAAGAAATTCTTCCTTATGTCCAATCTGAACCTCCCTGGTGCAGCTTGAGTCCATTTCCTCTTTCCTGGGAGAAGAGGCTGACCCCCACCTGGCTACAGCCTCCTTTCAGATAGTTCTGGAGAGGGATAAAGTCACCCCTGAGCATCCTCTTCTCCAGGCTAAACAACCGCAGCTCCCTGAGCCACTCCTTATAGGACGTGCTCCACACCCTTCACCAGCTTCATTGACCTTCTCTGGTCACACTTCAGCACCTCCATGTCTGTCTTGAATTGAGGGGCCCAGAACTGGACACAGGACTTGAGGTGTGGTCTCACTAGTGCCAAGTACAGGGGGACAATCACTTCCCTAGTACTGCTGGCCACATTTCTGATACAAGCCAGGATGCCAGTGGACATCTTTTTCTGCTGGGCAGCTTTCCAGCCAATCTTCCCCCAGCCTACAGTGCTGCATGCGGTTGCTGTAACCAAAGTGCAGGACCCAACACTTAGTAAACCTCAGACAATTGGCCTTTCCCCATTGATCCAGCTTGTCCAGACTCCTTTGCAGAACCTTCCTACCCTCCAGCAGACTAACACTCCTGCCCAGCTTGGTGTTGTCTGCGAACTTGCTGAGGGTGCACTCAATCCCTTTGTCCAAATCGGCAATAAAGATATAAAACAGAACTAGCCCCAGTACTGAGCATTGGAAGCTAGTAATTTGGAATTTAGAAAAATAAGTCTGGATCTGGAATAGTCAAAAAAACAAAAATAGCAAGAACATTTAGTCCTCACAGCCTCTCTGAGGAACCCAAGAGTGAAAGAAGCGGTTTTGCTAAAGTATGAACATACATTGATCTGTATCCAATCTTCAAAGCCAATAAAATGCTCTTGAATGTCAACAATTACTTTATTTTGTCAAAAAACCCTGTTTGACCCTTCTTTTCAAATGGAATCTGAACAAGGAGAACCAAAATGCAGAATTCAATGTATGTTGTGTCTCTTTGGTTGGTGGCATAATGTGGATAAGTATGAATATAATGGTAATGGCCCATCTTGTAAATTAAGAAAATACTTCAACTAGAACTTCTACGACTACACCCTTACAGCTTGGCGTACATTTTCATATTCAGATACTACGTGGAAGGTGTTGACAGAAAATGAAATTTTAATTTTATACACAGCCAACAAATCTTAATAGTGGCCTGATTTTTTAGTAATGAGACCTTAGCAAAATATGTATGTCACCAGGGGGAAAAACATTCATCAGTTTGGAAAAATCCCTAAACCTGTTCATCAGCCACCTGTCTTAAATTGCTTCTCCTTTTCCAAGAGAGAGTTTTGTTGCTTTTTGAAGCCGCTCTGATTGAAAAGTACACTTTCTCAATTAGGAAGGAGAGAAGTCATATTCCTAACTAGACTACTCTGTGTGAATATCAAATGCACACTTGTTCATAATCCATCAAATTATATATTCAGTTAATATTAAATAATTAACCTGAGAAATTAATATTCCTAGAGACACTTCAAGAGCAATAAATCTAGCCTAATTTTTTAGAACAGTCAAGTTTCAAATGGCATTGAGCAAACATTTTTTTTAACCTTTGCTGAGCATTTTAAACTAAAAATCACTGTTATGTCTCTTGATTTTTATTGCAGCACTGGTTGTACAGTCTGTGCTGTATATATACAATTTGCTTATTGTTTGGAAATAAGAGTAAAGCTGTAATAGCTAATATAAATATCTTCCTGCCGTGTTCCAGTCGACACATGTATTTAACCTGCAGAAAGATACCCTGGAAAAATTATTGTGAGGTGTTTTCCTGTGTGTGTCCCCAAAGGCTTTGCACTCTTTTTCTTCCTCACTATAATGAAAGAAGAGGCAGTTCTTAGGGATGTGTTAAGTATCTTGGTTGATTGGTCACCACATCTGTACTTGAGTGTTTTTATCAGTTGCTTTTATTCTAGTTTTTTGATTTAGCCAGTTGAAATAAAAATAGCTTCCCTTCTGGAATGTGTAGGTTTGTATGAGGGAGGTTTTAGGTTTCCATTAAAAGAAAAAAAAAAAAGGTAGAGAGGAAGCAGGGAGAGAATTGCACACCTGAATTTAAAAACTGTAGTCTTTGTTTTCATAGGAAAAAGATCACAAAGACTCACAGACCGAGTTGTTGTTGTTATTATTGCTATTACTTTTCATATTTTGGAAAGAGCAGCGTGTGTGTTGCAGCCAATAAGAAATATTTTTCTTAGAGGTTGACTGCAGTGGGCTGAAGCTGATGACCAAACTCATTAGCTTACCTACGTTCAAACTTTCACTTGGTCTTCTCAGAGTAACCCAGTGTTGCCGTGGGATTTATGGTGCTGAAAAAATCTCCCAGAGCAGTTAATTAGGAGTGAGATAAGAAAGGGTTTATTTGCCAAGGCAGAAGATGTTACAAGAGGCACGCAGGCCGTGCCTGAGATGTTACATTTTATAATACCATCCATCCAATCCCAGATGTGTCCACCCTGTGGCCTTTACTCTGGACCGCCCCAGGTCCACCCCCTGAAAATGGGTCTGGGGTGCATTTCGGGACCCTCTGTTCATCCCATCTTCACCATCATCAGAGCACAAAGGGTACATAGTTACCTAATTCTTGACCGTATTCTGTGGTTTAGGCCCTGATATGCTGTTCTGCCAACAATCTAGGCCTTGCCTTGACAAAAGACTAAACATTTCTGCTGTATTCAGGGGTAGGAGTGATATAGGGAGCACAGAATGGGGTAAGAGGGTTAAGGAATGTGTAAACTAAGGGTGCTAGAGGGAAAGGGATAAGGGACAAGGGAGGGAGGGTTGCTGCTTTTAAAATCTACTTATAAAACTTACAAGGCTTAGAAAAATAAAAACCATTAGGGGCTTAAGGCATCACCAGTTACTTGGCTTTAATTTTCCAGTCCAAATTGTAACATTACAATAAATATTAAGATATCTTGATGAAAAACACATCAAGACAGGAATAAATATTTAACCAGTTATTTCATCATAAGCTTTTTAGAAAGTGCTTGTGATTTTCTTTTTTTAATTAGACCTTCTCTGAAAATTTTACTGCTTCTCAGATTTATTTTTTTTTGAGACATTTCTGAAATTTGAGTTTAATCATAAGCAGATAATTCACAACTGAAGGGTTCAGGAACAGGAACAGCAATATTACAGAATATGTGACAGCCATATGTGTACAGCAGCCACTTTCTTTTTAGGGCTTCTCTCAAGGTCTGTACATTTACTCACATGGATGTCACATTTCAGTCATATGGACAACCTTACCTGTCCACCACTCTCAAACATGAAGATGTACATCTCTGTTTTGTATGATCCACCCCACAGTTGATGTCTGATGCAAATATTAGCAGGTGGGGCTCTGCAGCAAACCTCCCAGAGTGAGCATGGGGAGAAAGGCACTAAGATCGCTTCTTTTCAGTTTTTGAAAGTACAAGTACAGTACAAGTATGTGTTTGCTGAAATAGGATGGCTAGAGGTCTTTCATTCATTTTTGTCACTGTCAAAAAAGTATTTTCACTTCCATGAGTTTGTTGAGTGATTTTATTGACACTTTGATGCTTGCTGAATTTATCTTGCAGTAAAGTTTTATTGCCTTCCTACTGCTAGTACTTTAGAGGTGTTTAGCTTAAACACTTTAATAATCAGCAACAAAAACCCACTTGGTAGTCAGGTTAAGAAGCTGGGGTGGAACAATTTGCAGCAACATCAAAATCTCTCTTCTGTCTCTTTTTTCAGAAAGTCCCTCTAAGCCTGATTCACGAAAAACGTACACTCTACAGAATTACTTGAACAATGACTATTCATACAAACTAAATGATCTACAGTGGATTTCAGGTAATTAATTTATAGATACAACTTAAGTGTCAAGAAAATGTACTACCTTCAGTAAACACATATCTTCATGCTGAGGTGACAACTGTATCCTGAAAAAAAGTTAAATTATTTAATAGTACCATTATAGAACTGTGCGTAGCTCAAAGAGTTATTTCCCCCCCCCCCCCCCCCCCCACCTTAGATACCTGCTTACATTCATGGCAAGCTATATTCTCCTACTGCTGAAAGTGCATACTTTTGTGCTTTTTGGTAGAAGCATGTTTTCCTCTGAAGCGTGTCAGCTTCTTCTGCATTGGGCTGCCAGGGAACAGGAGGACACAGGCCACTTTTCCTTTTGAATATGCCTAGTGCCCCAAGGGAAAGAGATGCTAGAAAGTGGATGCTGTGAGGACTATATTTTGTGAACATTCTTGCATCCTTTCATTACTGAACTAGGAAACACAACATTGGCCAGATTTTTGAATTTTATTTCCTGCTTATAAACATAAGGGGAAAAGAAAAGTAAATGATAAACATTTTACTTATTTTTTATGAGCATCTCTCTTGTTCTTCTAGGAAATCAGTATCTCTGTGAAACAAATAATGGGAACATCCTACTTATCAGTGCTGACAATGGAACATCATCAGTAATCTTGGCGAATACAACATTAGTATGTTAACTTATATGTAATATATGCAGACATTGAGAAAGGTATTGAGTTTACTATTTAGTTCTGCACATTTCTTTGGAAACAGTGCTTAATGTGTTCCTTTTCCCCTTCCTTTGTTGACAGGATAAGTACAAGGCAAGCACAGCTATATTGTCTCCTGACCAAAAGTTTGCTCTTCTGCGGTACAACTATAGAAAGGTACAAGTGCACTTTACATCTGAGGATGAAACTGGGAAATAAAGGTTTGAGAACGACTGAGAGGCTGCGAGAATGTGAGGGAAATGCAGGAGGAGGGATGAATGAGATGGATATTTGTAGGGGAACAGTCAAGTTGAGCAGGCAGGAGGAGAAGAGACTGGTATTATCTGTGGGCTTGGCAGAAGAGACATGACTGCCTGAGAAAAGCATCTGGATAAAAAGTGGATGGACAGTTATCGCAAGAAGAGCGAGGCTGGATGGTTCATCTGGGAAGACAATCTAGAAGAGTAGATAGGCATGGCTATCAAGGAGTTGTGTGGGTAAGGAGAAGCGATGAGTAGATATGCTGGTACATCTGCTTGTACGTGTATGCTATATATATATATGTGGTTGTTACATTGTGGTGGTAGGATGCAAGAGTTGAGAACTGAGGTGACTGAAAAGCAGCATGTGCTTACAAGAGAAGGCTTGTGCTTGGAGTGGACTTGTGTGTCCTTGTTCCCTGCTGTCAGCAAGCACATGAAAAGCCTCCAGCAAAATGCTTCACACTGGCTTGGTGTCAAACTGTGCAAGAAAGGTCAACCTACATTTATGCCAGGTGGTGTGAAAACCTGGCTCTGTGTGCCAATTGAGGAGCCTGATGGAGGCAATAATTTGCTGTACAGTTTGTGCACTGAGAAACTGGTAACTTTGTGCTTCTTTCCTTTTTTTTTTTTCTAGAAAGTTGCCCTGTTTTGTTTGTAAAAAGCTCAGTGCTGACTTCTGCAGTGTACAAATACTGGAGCATTGTGTCATTGAGCTCTGTCTACATGTTCTGGCCTGGCAGTCCAAGAATGGCTCTTACACTGTGCCAGGCACAGTCCGTGCACGCAGTCATCACTTTTTTTCAGTTTTAGCTCCCTTGCTGCATTACCTTAGCCAGTTACCTTTCATCTTTCTGAATTCTTCAGAATTATTTAACTTTTCACTGCATCTTTAGTGGCCACAAAATGCCTAATATTTTTCCAGCCACCCTACACATCACGTCTACTCATAATTTATTATAAGTAATTGCATTTTATTTGTTGCATTCATATGAGTTAATTTTATTTTAATGCTGAAACAAGATCTTTTAACCTTTATATAATAGTGTGATTGAAAGTTCTGTTATTATTAATCTTTATTGCAAAGAAACAGAGTAACAAAATGAATCATGTGGATGTAGACACTTGTTATGTAATAGCCATCTGGTTATGTAGTACTAAGTTGTTGTTTTATATCTTAATACACATATTCAAGAACCATCATAGAAGATAGCATTATCGTAACATGTCAACACTGTGGGCTAAATCAAACCTCTCCAGCCAACATGAACATGTTTAAATGTCTGCATTATCATCATCGTCTTTCTCTCTCTAAGTGCCCACAGGGGGATACAGACTTCAAGAGGCAGATTTCTGAGAGAAGAGGGTTATTTCTGTGACAGTATGAATGGGAATAGGTCACCCTGTACTGGAGGAACTGCTACAGACATACTGTGGGACTTGTGAGAACTACTATAAGATGCCAAGTTCAATAATACGACATGAAAAATGAGACAGAAAACAGTAAGCAAGCCAGTAAGGCACAAGGAGGAGAATTTACTCTGCATAGTGATGATAGTCTGCCATGTAGCTACAAGGATTTCTGAAAATCTGCATCATCTCTGGTGTCTGTATATCTGTCCTTAATCAATCAGTGGCCTCTGTCATAGTGAAGACCCCAGAGGGGTGGCAATGCTTTAGTCTTTTCTTAAACCTTGTAGAGATCTTTTACCCTCGTATGTTCATTGTGTTCTGTCTTAAGAAAAAGCATGAGGAGAGTTTCAGAGGTAATTCAAACTGCAAGAGATGTGAATCCTGCTGAAATTTAGTTTCTTAATATTAAAATAATTCTTTTACAGTTGTGGAGGTATTCCTTTACAGCTTCATATCACATCTATAATTTCAGTAGCAGGTCAGTAATCTTTTCATGTGAGATGTAGTTTTAAGATTCTTTTGCAATGAAATGTCATTTCACTGATTTCTCTTGGCTGCAATTTGGTTTTGTTTTTCCAGCTCTATTCTAGATGATGGACTACTACCTAATGATACACAATATCTATCCTGGTCACCTGTTGGTCACAAACTGGTTAGTAAAGATAAGTGACACTTTAATATAAACAGTCATTTTCATACACGTGATATGGAAACTCACATTGTCTGTACTCTTGAGGTTTTGGGACTTTCCTACTGCTCAATAAAATAGCTGAACTTGTTTCAAAATTGACTACTGTTGCTGGAAAGACTCCAAAATCCCTCTGTGTGTTTTCTTTTGTTCTTTAATGAAAATACATTCCTGAAAGCAAGCAGTGGCCCCAGTAGTCATGTAATGCACAAATGCACAGGAACTTCATGTTATTACAGTTGCAGACAGGAGCTCAACCCTTTCAAAGGCAGCAGCATTATGAATGTCTATTTAATCATCACTGTGATTTTTATCTCCTAATTATACAATAATCAATGAAGTTTTACTTGACGAATGCATGTAATGAGATTAGAGAATCAAAATCCTCTTGTACTCTTTCCCACTGTCCTTTTCTTTCTCCCCTCCAATCCTCAGTGGTGAAAGCCACTGCATTTTCAAGGCTTGTGTATTCCCTGTGGTGAGCATTGGATCTGACTGTCAGAGGACAATGTGGTGCTTATTTATTCTCATTGCTTGTAGTATATGAATTATAGAGACCAACCACAGAAGCACAGGAAGTCAAAAAGAGCTTTCTGCATCTTGGAGTGAAGCTCTGGAATAAAGCTGTGTTGTCAGTTATTGGAGAGGAAAACCAGGGGTTATTAGAGAGGCAGGCAGGTGCCAAAACCTAGAGGAGTTCTGAGTGCTACTGCAGAAATGTACTGTCTTTGCAGATCTATTGGTAGTGCTGAGACCCCAGTCAATGTTTTACCAAAGCACTGATAGTTTTTTTTGAAAGACAAATTAGTGAAAAACAACTCCTGGCAAAGGAAAATAGGCTTGTACATTGGCAGAAAATGAATAGCAAGGTTTTCAGAACTTGTTACAGTAGTCATGTCACTTAATGTAGTTGACTTGTTTTTTGCAAAAAAACAAGGTTAAGTTGCTACACCTGGTTTGTATTTGTAATTCAAAGTTTGTTAAGTATCAATGATTGGGGAAATGCAACTTTTAAAAATGGTTTCTGTCATCTGGTATGAATTTCCCAGTAGATAAAGTAAAGAAAGGAAGCAGGATTTATAATAATAGTAATTGTCATCATGATGATGTTTTGCAGGCATATGTTTGGAAAAATAATATTTATGTAAAAGCTTCACCAACATCAGCAGCTGTGCCAGTCACTCAAAATGGAGAAGAAAATAAAATTTTCAATGGAATACCAGATTGGGTTTATGAAGGTAATTATGTCAAGCAAGTCTTACTTTATATTATCATATAAACCTTTGGTTTATTGTAGTTATTATTATTGTCTTATTTCTTATACCATTGAAAAGTTCAAATTAATCAAAATTTCTGTTTTAAAAGAAACATGCATCCTTACCTGAGCTTAATACCTGGCTAGTATGAGGATCAAAGAATGGAAATGAGTTTGCCTAACTTGCATTGCATCACTGGAAATTATACTATGTGAATTAACTTCATATGATAGATTATAAATATTGGTCTAATGTCTAATTTCATAACCCCAACAAACACTTTACAGTTTGGTTTCTGAATTTCAATTTAAAAAAATAAATCCTATTAACAACTTAAGAGAACAGCACCTAGGATAGAAGAGCCAACATCAATTATAACTTAAATGCATTTCTGTTTCTTTCAGAGGAAATGTTTGGCACCAATTCTGCTCTGTGGTGGTCTCCAAATGGCAATTTTTTGGCATATGCAGCCTTTGATGATACAGAAGTTCCTGTTATAGAGTATTCCTTTTATTCTGATGATACCTTGCAGTATCCAAAGACCATCAAAATCCCATATCCCAAGGTCAGTGTTATTTATTAAACATGTTTGTTCTACAGTTTCATTAAGAGAGTAGTCTCATTTAATCAGTTCCTGCTAATGAAAATATTGTCTGTCTCTCCTCAACAGCTTGCTGTGATTACTCTTTATGAAGTCAACAGCATCTGGCAATGTTAAAGTATTTTATTATCTCCAGGGTAAAGAAAAAGGAAAAAAGAAGTATGATTAAAGGTTTTGTTGTTTCACCATAAAACTTAGAGGTAGTGAGTAGATGTTGGGAAAAAAAAGCTCTCAGGGAGTTGAAGTTGGTACAGAGCATTTAGCAGATGTACATTATGTTAGGGTTGTGTGTGGTATTGATAATGAAATCTTCTTCAACTAAGGTAGCATTTTCAGTTGTTGGACACTTCCTGTAAAGGGAGGAAGAGGAGGAATCTGCTGAAGGAGTTTCTTTGCCCACACCTAAAGGTCTTCCAGTTTTAGCTGTGGGAGTGAAGCCTTTAGTGTAAGCAGCTCCTTCTCCTTCCCCCCTCCTCTCCACATGACTTTATGCCCACTGCTCTTGCACAGTTGGCACTGGACTGAATGGGGTGAGAGTCAAAATGCTCTAACAGGTTCTTTCGTACACTCCACATGTGAAGAGTTTCATGTTTAATACAAGACTTACCTGTGTGAAGTTATTTGACATATACGGGATTTGGATTTATCAGAGCAATGCACTTAAGACACAAAACAAGTACAAATTACACTTAGAGAACAGCGGTTGCACTACATTGCTGAGTCTCAATACAAACATATTCTCATATCTGATCTCTGTTATATGCTCACCATCACAGTGCTGGGCATCCGTGTTGCTGGGAAGGAATAGATGGGTTGAAACCATATCAAACCCATCACTTTCTTTAGTTTTTCTGTTCATCACTGAGGTTTTATACTGTGTTGGCTTAAGGCACTGATATATACCCCCCTCTCCCTCCCACCCCAATCCATGATGGTCTGGCCATCGTGGAAAGATATTTCCACTCTCAATTAGCTGGAGCAGAACAGCTGATAGAGCTGGCTGATCACTCAACTGTTATGGCTGTTTGTCTGGTGAAAAAGCTGCCCTCTTCATGCCAAGCTCAGCTTCCTCTGCAGCAGCCATGGTCAGTCACTCCAAAGGTTCTGGAGCACATGGCCTTTGCCTGTCCCCTTGTAGGCTTCCCCAGAGGGGTCACTGACACTCCCCATGAGTAGCTGGGCTCACTGACAGCTGCAGGTGTTCTGTCCTGAGCATGGTGCATAAGAAGAGATGTAGGTGTAGAATGAAGTGCCAATTTAAATTACACATTCTATTACAAACCCATTTTGTTTGGAATATTGCTGACTTTTGGAGGTGGATCAAGTACAGCTACCTAACTGTTATGATGGCGAGTTAACTTCTAGAGAAGCAGCCCCTACTGACAGTTATGTTGCTCCCAGTAGCACTACATTAAAAATAGTGGAGTACATGCTGCAGTCACAGATTTTATTGTGATATAGGTAGCTGTGATGTGCCTTGTTAATGTAAGGTGCTTCTTCCATGGAGAAGCACTTTACTGTGTGTTAGCAATGCATTTGACTCACTGTTAGGTACTGTGTATGGCATGAAAGATGAGATATGGTCAAATACTGCTTTGGGTACAGCAAGCCCAGTGTAGTTATGAATATTTGTAAATGTAGTAGTCTTTCTTATCTAGAAACGCATAACTAACACTTTTGTGTAAAGAAATACAAAGGATAACTTATGCATCAATCTTAAAAACTGCATTTAGGAACTTGTCTTTTCACATGGTTTTACCCTTCTTTCTGTAGTAACTTATTCATCTATAATTTGAAACACTTAATTCACCAAGAATATTCTCTCCTCAGAAGTACAATTAAAAATTTTTTTTAGGCAGGAGCTACAAATCCAACTGTGCGATTCTTTATTGTGGATACCGAGTCATTACCAAATTCCATCCCTGTTGAAATTACTCCACCTACAGAAATAAAATCAGGGTAAGAAATTTTGATTAAATATTTGATTGGGGTTTTTGTGGTGAGAGAGGAGGAGCTTTTATATGTGACCTCCCTATATTCAGTGTATGTGGCAGCTTTTCCCTGTCATGCAGCTCTGGTAGCAACAAGATTTACCAGAGAAAATCTGCACAGAGATTATCCTCCTAGTGATTATATATAGATGGCATATTCCATGTATGTTATATTCAGAATGTGACAAGTTCTTGGCTCGTCACATTCAGTGGAGTCTAACTATGGTGAAGTCATTTCACAGTACAACTTTAATATGAGCAAGTTTTGGTATAATCAAATTATAATATATGTATTCCAATTCACTGGGGGGAAAAAAAAAACCAAAACAAAACCTTAATGGTAAGTGAAGATTTGATTTCATTGGAAGCAAACTCCTTGCTAAGGCAAGGTATCATGGTTGTCTTCAGATTTATACTTAAGATGTTTGTTTTCTTTGGAAACATGGTGAAAATCAGCACCTCTCACAGTAAATGGAAAATTGTATTTCTCAAAATGCCACTGGAAATGCACAACATGATACAAATGTATTTTGTAAAGAGCAGCTACATCAATTTAAAGTGCATGCACAGAGAATTTAATATCCCAGATCTCGGGTTTTGTTTTTTCTTTTTAACAGTATTGTGGAAATTGTTTAGAGGTTTGCACTTACAAACATGATTGGTATGAAAGCACAGGTTATACTGATAAACCAGAAAAAAACAAAGGAGGTCTGTTAGCTTTGCATAAAATGTGCATTTTGTACATGGTGGCCAAAAAGCTATAACTGGAATATCGGTGCTCTCCCATTTCAGTTGTCACCACAGTCTAACTAACATCTATGTGTTAACCAAGATATGCGAATTTTTATGAATATGTTGTTCTTTATCCTTCCGTTACAGTAGCACTGCAATAGCTGGATGTTACATAGCTGTCATGCACCGTTTTTCTCCAGAATTTCAATGTCTCAGAATTAAAAGCCTGTTATGTTTAGCTTAATACTGATTAAGATCTCTGTTGTTTTGGAGTTATGTTTTACCTTTTGTTAACACCTTATGAAAGTTATGTGGGGACAATAACCATCAGCTACCTTACAGCCTCATACCCATCTGGCTAACATAGGCATGAGTTACATGGAGTTAATCTATTTTAAAATGAATGTAGCACTCTGCAAATCAGGATTAATACAAAGATAAATCAAGTCTTGAATGATGAGTGCAAGGATCAAAACTTACTCTTCCTCCCAGTGGCTGATCCAAATAGTGGTCAAGTTTCACCATATGTGTCCTGCAAAAGTTGAGGTGGCCAGAATGAGTCTTGGAGAATTTTGCAAGAACAAAGATACATGAGTAGGAAAAGGCAAGTGATGTGCAATGTTTCTGTTGGGTAGTTTTGCTCCTGGAAGCACCATATTTACATGGTGTTTATATTTATACCACTGTATGGCAGGAAAGGTTAATTTCGGTGGTGGAAAATTCTGGTTTTACTTCCACAGAGCTAAATTCTGAACAAAACTATGTTTGAACTGGTTGTGTACCTCACCCCATCTGCCCGGTAGGGGATGTTGAGGGGCAGTGCCCCTGCAAGTGGTTGCCTGTTACAGCGTTATCCAGAGCTTGTATGAGCAGCACTTGTACCCCCACATTTGAAGTGCACTTCTGTTTCAGAGGAAGAATTTTATTTGTCAAGAAAAACTGCCAAAATCTGGAACGGCAGTGCTTTGCTATATGATAGTAGATGAAACCTGACATTTTTTGCTTGAATGACCAGCGTGAAATCCATATAGTGTTTAAACACCATTTTTGGCATCATGGGTACAGGGGGCTCCTGTTAGCCAACAGGAGGATGAAGGGAATGGATGCTTTTTGTCTGAAATGATCTGTCCTAAAATCAGCTGACTTCTGAGTAGAGACTGTTTGCAGAGTATCCCTCTCAGCAGCAAATGAGGAAGAGCAGTGCAAAACTACTGTACTCTACGCTTGAATTAATTGCAGCTTAGTTAACATTTTGTGGGTTGTTGAATACTGAAGATGCATTCCCACTCTCAATAATAACAGTAAGCTATTTATTACATTATAATATTAGCTTGATTATTAATTGATTTTTTGTTTATTAATTCTTTTTTCCTTGTAATGTCCATCTTGTCTGATGAATGATTTATAGTCACCAGAACTGTTAATTTCTCTGACTTTGAAGCAATGAAAACTGTGGGACTAATTCCCCTTATACAAAACAAAGGAAGCCACTATTATAGGTACAAAAAGAATGGCAGTTTCTTTTTTCTCTTTTTTTTTTCCAAACAAGCTCCTGTAGAGAGCCAGTGGCAGTAGCAATTAAATGACCTACTGACTTCCCAGTCAAATATAAATGCAAAAATAGGCTTTATCCAAACAGGATTTTGAAACTGCAAGCTAGAAATAAATCTCAAAGTTGTCGGTAACCAGTTGGCATATATTTTTAATCAATCCACACTAATTGTAGTGTTTCGCCCCCCAAACCGCAGTGATCATGAAGATACTCTTATCACAAAACTTCCCACACATTTTTGTTAACTAACTTCGGGGAAAAAAGGAACATGAACTTGGAACTAAGTCAAATGTGCAAATTCCGGTTAAAAATGTATACTTGCCTTGGAGGGGAGGTTTGTTTTATTTTAGTTCATAAGGCTTCTAGGAGATAGGAGAGATCTAAAATAAGAAAAGACAGTACATGTAACAAATCGTAATGGTAAACAAAACCACTAAATTTTATGTGATGCCTTTTTAAAATTAATATACAGGAATATACATGAAGGTGATTTTTTTTCAGATACTCCAGTTCTTCATGTCAACAGGTTGGTATTCTGAAGATTAAAGTAAAATATTCAAATAGTAATAACTGGTTTTGGTATGATCTCTTCCTCCATTTTAACTAATGGAAATAACTACTAAATTGAACAAAAATATGTATCATTCAGAAAATTCTTACAATCAACCAACTTCATGCAGCTAAGGGTAAAATTTTGAAATCTAAGGCACATACAACTTAATATTCAGAAGGATTTCCTATAGCTGCACACAGTACATTTATGAACAGTCTGGAGTAGTTATTATTTTATGCATTAGAGAACAGTGATCTGGCTGTTAGAATTTAATTGCAGTCTTTCTGGAAGTCGGTTTGTACAAACCATCTAATTCTTTATTGTATCTCTGAAAATAACCAAGGCATCTACTAGCAGAAAAAACAATTGACAAAAAAATAGCTCAATTAGGTTTGCATAATTGTTTGTTGTTGAAGAGTAAATTGAAATGAAAATAGCCAGATGAGTGTCATTCAGTGAATTTCTCAATGCTATCGTAGGGTATGCAATTACAGAGAGGATTTTAAATATCTAATGCTGTTGCTGTTTTCAGAGACCATTATTTGAGTGCTGTAACATGGGTAACAGATGAAAGGATTTGTCTGCAGTGGCTCAGAAGAATTCAGAATTTTTCAGTCCTCACAGTCTGTGACTTTGAAAATGCTAATTGGTCATGTCCACAGGTAAGAAAAATTAGGTGGAAGAGTTCCAATGACAAATGAAACTGGAAAGAAGTAGAGTATATCTGTATGTTTATCTTTGTAGAAATAAAGCCTGATGTAAAATAAGCATAATTGTAATGGGATTGTTTGTTTTTTCTTAGGGAAAACAACTTACGGAAGAAAGTACAACTGGCTGGATTGGCAGAGTGAGTGTTCAATTTCTAAAACTGCTACATGCTAAATAACTCTGATAATTAAGAAAAATTCATAGGAGCCTCTTGCATTTTGCAGTGCCTCTTTTGTGCAGGTCCAGTCCTCTCACTTGCTGCATTTTACATGTACAGGAAAAAATGTTCTCAAATGGAGCTGCTGTGCCACCCTGCCCCCTGAGTTTAAGCTTTTTTGGGGGGGAAATATGGGGTTCTGAACTCTCAGGCTGGGCTGACAGTGCAGCATGGGCTGGAGCTGTAACTGTGTCCTCTGTGACCTGTGCATCATGTTGACAGGACAAGGGGTAATGCTTTAAATTGAAAGACAGTAGGTTTAGATTAGATATTAGAAAGAAATTTTTTACTGTGAGGGTGGTGAGGCACTGGAACAGGTTGTCCAGAGAAGCTGTGGATGCCCCATCCGTGGAAGCGTTTAAGGCCAAGTTGGATGAGGCTCTGAGCAACCTTGTCTAGTGGAAGGTGTCCCTGCCCATGGCAGGGGGGTTGGAACTAGATGAACTTTAAGGTCCCTTCCAATCCAAACCATTCTATGATTATATGATTACATGTTCAGCGTGCCAAAAAGCATAGCACCCTTTCCAGACTCCTTTTGACTTCTGGCCTTCTGCTTTGGTAGCAGTAGGTAGGGGGGGAAATGTAGGAGCCAGGATTCAGAATTCCCTTTGTGCTGGAGGAGTTGCCAGCTATGCTGGTTTAGCTGCTTTACAGTCTTCCTGCCACCTCCAGAAAGATCTACAGAATAAAATGTATAAAGAAGCATATCCTATAACCTTTGAATCATATTGGAAGAAAGGCATAGAGGACAAAAGTAATTTTTTACTATTTTAGATTGCTACAAACTATTCCAGGTTCTCATTGGGGCTACTTATTTATTTATTTCTTCCCCACGTGAAATAGCCATTGAAAAGAAGTGGGGACAAGATGTATATAACTGACCAGATTAAAAATTTCATATGCTTCTGCCAAACCAATCACTGCAGTCTGGATGATGCTTTCCAAGCTGCTTCTCAGTCCTTTTGTACATGGTAGAGAGTAGGCACCTAATGAACTACACAGAAGATCTGGGGGAAGTGAAGCAGAGATGCAAAAGTTCAGACTTGGAGGGAGAAATGAGTTTCAGAGTTTTTGATGAGAACACAGAGTACACTCCACTCCCGCATTTTCCACACACTGATTATGCTTTAGTCACTAATTCACTTTTGAAGTCAAAAATGAGAGTTTAAAGAAATGCAAAGAGGGAGGCAACAGCAGGGATGAAATCATCCGCAGTATGAAGATGAGAGATCAACCCACCTGCTGTCAAATTTGATATGGAAAGGAAGGCCTTAACGCTGACACATTTTGCTTCTCTGCAGCAAAGGCTTCACAATTAGACAATGTGATGATCAAGCTGCAGACTTTGTAAACAGTTGTGCAAAATGAGAGGGCAAAATGCAAGTCTGTGCCATCAAACTAGGTTGTTGGTTTTTTGTTTCTTTTAAAGAGACAACCCACTTCTTAGGAGCTGTGGGAAGAAAGGATAATCTCACTGTATGATTCCTGGATTTGAGAAGGGAGTGGAGAGTAGGGAGAATTGAAGAGGGGATAGGCAAGGTATATTTATTCCTTTCTTTTCTTTTTACCTATTTAGGGGTGATAAAATGATACTTGACTGAAAAGGAATATTTTTATACATATGTGAGATGTATATATACACATACATGGGTATATACAGATTTAAGTAAATTATATATATGTGTAAAATATAGACATAGTACTCTCTTTGTATCTGTAATGGTTTTTGGTTTTGGTGTTGTTGTTTGGTTTTTTTTTTTTGATAGAGATGAAATTACATTTAATCTAAGAATGCTCAGAAAAGCCTGCGTAACTGTAAAAGGCTTCCAGGTCATCAGCTAACTTAGAGCTTGCCAGTTGAGTTGAAGGAAAGTCACACTTTGAAAAAGCAAGACTGTTATAAGGGAAAGGCCAGCAAAATATTCAACAGATTACATTTTGCAAAAAAATTGCTAGGGAAAAAGGAGAGGTTATTTGTAGCATATGGGTTAGGAAGATTTAATTTCTGTCATTGCTTACTGAATGACCAAAGGCAAGTCAGTTCAGCTTTCTGTTTCACTTTCCATTTCAAAATGGGTATAACATCTCAGAGGCAACTGCGTTGTGTCAGTTGTGTCATTTAACTCATTAAAAATCTGATTTTAACATTTTGCTCCTTTGGACATTTATCACAGAAGTGAGTATCTTTTATTTCACTCAGCTTGGTTTCATTCCTCTCTTTCTTTCTACCACATGTAGCACATTCAAATGGCAGTCAATAGAAGAAATAAATTTCTGTCACTCTCAATTGATAAATGGATAGTTCCTTCATGAAATATCATTCCCGTTTTAGTTCCATGTCATTCTGTAATCACCTACTTATTAGCAAAATTTCCTCTTGGAAAGCAGCTTGGGTTTAGGTTTTTTTCAAGAGAGCAGGACATTTTTTACTGTTAAGCTAAAAAAAAAATTGACTTCAAAGAATTTGTTCACAAACAGATTTTAAAATGTAAAATTCGTGAGAAACATGTATTTGCAAAGTTCACATTTTTATAGGTTACAGCTGCACTGGACAGAATAAAACAGTGACTTTGAAAGTAGATACACATATTGTTTCCTAAAATGGTAAAAAAATAAGAACACCTGAAGTACTTCAAATTCAAGGGAGGGGATACAGATCACTACTAGGGCCAATACTCAGGAAATTCTGCTGCTTAAGGAGCAAGATAATATTTTAAGTGTGCTTACTTTTAGGGTGATGGCTACAGGTTCTACCTACTAAGTCTGTAGGCAAAAATTTTTGCAGTACATTCAGTGATGCATTGTTTAAAGTATTGAGACTCACGATTAGAGATATCAAAACCTAAATTTATTGGTTTGGATCTAGAGTTTCGTTTTTTGCTTTAATAGACATCTCTCTTATGTTCAAGTTTCAGCCATCTGTCCCTTACTTTGCACCCGACAATGCTACCTACTACAAAGTCCTCAGCAACACAGCAGGTTACAAGCACATCTATTACATAAATGGCTCGCAGGTGAGTAATAATGTGTAGGACAGTCAGTGCTGGCTTGTGGTTCTCCTGGTGATCAAGAAGCTTCATGTTCTACTTTTTACTTTGCCTTCCCCCCCCCCATTTCAGGATCCAGTACCTATTACTTCAGGGAAGTGGGAAGTAATCAGCATAGAAGCTGTAACAAATGACTTTTTGTAAGTATTTGTAAATAAACTACTAATTCCTGTCATAAGGGCTGGTAACAAGGGTCTAAGCAAGCAGGGATGGAGAACAGGGAGAAGGTGTCATTTAACTGATTGAAAATCTGATTTAAACATGTAAGGTAAAACCTTTAAATGTTGTAAGGTACTGTAAATATTTTACCAAAACCAATATGTTTTGCTTTTATAGATACTACATTAGTAATGAAAATGGTGGAAAACCAGGAGGAAGAAATCTCTATAAGTAAGAAATTTTTTTCTGCACTGTGGTAAAACAGTTGTTAATGAAAAAAAAAAAAAGTAAGAAAAAGCATTGAAAACTTAAAGATTGTGAAGTTCAGTCTAAGGTGGGATCCTCTATAGGATATTTAATGAAAATCGGTGTAAGAGTATAAACTGCAAAAATAATGAAAATATTTTTCTGTCAATTTAGTTAATAAAGGGACATTGTGAGAAGAAACAACCAATCCTCAAGCAACAAAGCCCCAAAGAAAACCTCTCATGGTTTTTTTTACTATGATTATAATTTCAATATTAATTGAACTCAAAAGTTTAAAGTCTGTTTTCTCTAATCTTTAAATCAGTTAATCACTTCTGAATTTAAACGTTTCATTCGGCCATCTTATTTAAAAAGCATATATTAGTTTATCATAGCTTAAAAAGAAGTAATCTCTGAAATGAAGCTCAACTACTTTGCAGAGTGCTCTTGGAAAGCAGTCCAAGTTCTACTAAATGTGTTAGCTGTGATCTGAATCAAGAAAGATGCCAGTATTATTCTGTGTCCTTCAGCAAAGACGCACAGTATTATCAGCTAAATTGTCTTGGTGAGTATATCCGGAATTAATTGACATAAACATGACTCAGAGATTAGTTGGGTGGGAAGTTCACTTCATCAGGATCTTGATATGTACTGCTTAACAATGATATGTGTTGATAACATTGGATAAATTCATTGGCAGTGGAAAAACATACTGCCTCCTAGGCTCAAAAGCACCTTGACAAAAAATTACTAGGATAAAACTTGTTAGTTCTGTCTGTTAGTGGACCTGAAAGAGCTACAAAATACTCCTGTCCAGTGCACATCTCTTCAAGAGCTGCATGTGGAGCTCTGCCTGCAGAAGGAATTTGGAGGCTCTGAAAGCATGACAACCAGGAGGCTGGGTAAAGAGCAGTGCTCCATGTGTGGAAATAAAATTAAGATAGGTAGTGCTGGTCAAAAAAAAATCCAAGTAATGTAATCAAGGTAAGCAGTGGGACTGTAGTCTGTCTTTGACCTGTAAGTGCTTGTGCTAGGCAGTACAAGGGATAAATTAATCAAAGGGCAAGAAAAATGAAATCTTCCTTTAAATGTCTTTAAATTGAAATATATGCTGTTTTTTAAGATGCCAGGATCTTCCTTATCTATAGGCTAGAAGGACAGACAGCAGAGAAGGAATTGTTCTGTCAGGTTATAAAAATGGTTGAAGACTACTGCTGTGGTCTCAGTGACAAGGCTTACTGATTGCCCAACCATGGTCCACAACGTATGCATAGGCTTTGCTAAAGAGTGGAATTTCAGTTCTTCAGTACCTCACAATAATGTGGTTCATCTGCAGACAGTATGAATATTTTGTGGGATCCTGTGGCTTGAATTTGGGCCCTACTGAGTTAAAATGCAGCTTGAGCAGACTGGAGGGAAATGAGTTCTGAGCTTTTATGATTCACCTGTTTCCAATTACTTCATGAGAGTTGTGTTTCAAGACAGCACGCAAACATGAAGGTTTTGTGCCCAATTAACAGGTCCTGGCCTGCCCATATCTACTCTGCACAGAAGCATTGACGATCAAGGTATGGAATTGTCTTTAAATCTAATTTGTGTTGAGCCAGAAAATTGCACTGTAAATTTATTTTAATTTTGTTCTCATTGCTTAGTATAGTAATAAAAATGTCAATTATAAAGGGTAAATTTAATTTCAAATAATTACTAGAAGAATAAATTATATAGCTTGGCATACCTTTATTCATAGTTTATTTAATATTATTTTACATTGTGCTAGAAAACAGTGAGTAATGTATGACTTATTTACTGGATAACTGCATTTAGATTAAAAACAGAGAAAAGAGCTTTCTGGTTCCTAAATAACTAAAGGAAAACTATACTGTAAATATTGTAAACATTGAATCTGAGAGGAAAAACAAAAACTGCAATGTAGGTTGCTGTCATCTCAGATTGAATACTTAGTGGTTCATAATTAAAGAGCTTATTTAGAGCTTATTATAATTAAAGAGATTATTTGAAAATAATGTATTTAATCTTTGAATCTTACTTATTCTGTTATTTAGTCCTCAGATACTTGAAAAATAACACTGAACTGGAAAATGCATTGAAAGATATTCAGATGCCTTCAAAAAAGTTTGGCTCCCTTAGTGTAGGTGGATACAGTAAGTTCAAAAACATCTTTTACCTTTCTATCCCTTTTTCACCAAGTGCTTCAAGGTCTTCTGCTGAAGAGCATGACAGAACAGATGGGTGTAGTGGGGATTATTGCAGTTATTCAGCACTTAGAGGCAAGATGATTTTTTTTTGAAATCCCAAAATATTCTTATCTAAAATGTGCTTTTTCCATAGTGTGATATCTTGATGTTTTTGTGATGAAGTGGCTTAGCTCCTTTTTTTTCCTTTATAATAAACTGAAAAACAGAAGTCTCTAAGACCACATCAAATAAAAAAAAATAAATAAGAGAAATGAGGGTAAGGGCACAAAGGACATAAGCATCATTAAATTTAAATTACATTATAAAGTCAAGTAGGTCTTAATTTACAGGTGCAAGTTGCTTTGGTTTGGGTTAGCGGGTTGGGAAAGTGGAGAAGCTCAGTTACTGTGAAAAAAGCAGGCACAATTTAAATGGAAAAGCTTGAAAAAACCTATAAGCATCATTTCAATATCACCTTTGGTTTTGTGTGAGGGAACATTGGGATTGAACAGCCACATTCTTAAAAGCACACTCATGCTCCAAGGCTACATAAACCTCAATACAGACTATAACAAAATGCTAGAATATTAACTGTTAATGCTTTGTGAGCAGTGCTCCTTAGAATTTGGGTAGAGAGACATTCTTGATTTGGTCATAGGCTGAGCAACATCAGATAGACCAGCAGTGGAAGGCCTGGTACCTGTCTAAACTGTTCTTGCTCCAGCCTTTGCTACTAGTTTTTCTCTTCATGACAAACTTCCTCTTGATAAAACAGATTATATTCTTAATAAAATTATATTTTACAAACCATATTGGGTTTGGTCAGTCATTGCTAACTGTTCCTTTTGATACTTCCCTTCTTTCACTGTTACCTTATTTATATAATAACTGTCTTTATCTTTGTGTTTTCTGTCTTTTATTTCTGTCACATTTTTACTAGGGCTAAAGATGAAATCTTCCAGGCAAGATGGAGATTTAAAGATGTTCTTCGTGCTATCAGTTGTATATTCACTTTTTTTTATTCCTCTTTGTTCTTACTACTTCATGTCTTCAGGGTAAAAGCTTTTGGGTAAGGGGAAACTATTTTTAATGTCACAAGTAGGAGAAATAAATCCATTTATGTAGTCCCACTTCAAGTTTCAAGTCTGCTTACAAATCCCTTTATGTAATTAAAGAAGAAATCCACCCCTGTGACTACAGAGTACACAAAAAAATTAAAATTAGTATTTTAATGTGTTCAGTTTAGATTGATACTGTTTCAGTTTTCTGATGCTTTGCATATTCATATCTGGGCAAATTTCTTTAAGACTTGCACTCTGACTATTACTGCAGTGTAGTCCATCAGCATTTGCTTTGTGGTTCCTTTGCAGCATCAGTTCTTTTAAAATTCATGAGTGAACAATTGAGCCATTCGGTTTGCAAAACTTAAATGGTGCGCATTTAAAATATTCAGCTAACTCTCAGCCAACTTGGGTGGAAGGAATAACATGGATGGAACCGGAATAAGTGTTGCTTCAGAAATAATAGATACTTGGCTATGTTTCTGAGATGCTTTACAAACTGTCACGCAAAGTCTATCTGGCAGGTTCAAAATATTTAGAACTGCTTTCTATTGCTGGGAGAGAAACTTTATTTTTGAGCCTGTGATAGATTTACCACTGTAGAGACATAAAAAGTTTTACATGTAAGATTAGAATAATGTTACAAAACAGCATGTTGAGTCCTCAAATTTTATTACTTTCTGCTATCTTAACTGTACAAGATTTAAAAAAAAATAGACTAGCTAGGAACTTTTACCTGTATATATTAGGACAGTTTCAGATGAAACTGCTTTTTAATTTTTAGGGGACGGCTCAAATGTGCTCTTGTATGAATTGCAGTGCATGTCAAATTATTTCACTGGAGAACTGACCTAAGTAAAACTCTTTTCACTTTTAGACCTGTGGTATGAAATGTTATTGCCTCCCCATTTCGATTCATCAAAGAAGTACCCTCTGCTCCTTGAGGTGTAAGTTTTCAATTACATGGCAATGTTGTGTAATAATCACTTTCATCTACTAATAATCACTTTCATCTAATTCAAATGCTCTTAATAAGATCAGGAAACACAAAACTGGCATCTTTTCTAATTACTTCTTGAAGTAGTTTTAAGACAGAATGAAAAAATGAGGTATATCCTAATCCATGGTGGATTCTTGTACCATAAGATGATGTAATGCCTAATGAGCACATACTCTTTTAGTGGCACTGAGGCAAATACATTCTGTATCTGATTTAAAAGCCAGGATGTTAGTGTTAGCTTACCTCCTCCTCTGCTCTTAAAGATTATTAGAAATAATCTTCAGTGAAGTGACATTCCAGAATGAAACCTTGAATAAGCCTTGTATCCTAAAGCTGAAGTAGTGTGTGATGTTGCCTTTTCTCTGTGACATCTGACTGTCAACTAGTGTTGACAAATGTCATCCTGTGGTCAGGATTGCATTTGCTGTTGTTTTTTCATAATTTCAAGACCATGTTTGGTCTGTTCTTCCTCAGGCACTTCTCTTCAGGCTGGTATATTTTCTTCTGAATGGAAATTATTGAATTTTAGCTATTCATTGAAATAGAAATGTTAAGCTTTTCCTCTTTTTACAGAAAGCTGACTCTGTAAGGAAACTGTTATTTGTTAGATACATCTTTATATAATGTAATTTGGTAGCACTGTAATACTTTTTGATATGTCTGTTGAACATTTTTAATGAGCAGCCAATGCTCTAGGCTTCTTAAGACTTGTTTTGGTTTCGATAGAAATTTATTGATTTACCTGGACCTTTGTCAGGATCACCTCTGCTTCACAGTGATCAGAAATTCCTTCAGAAGTATCAAGATCCGTAGCTTGAATTAAAGAATTCTGAGTAGTTTTTTCTTTGCTTTTAAAACTGCTAAGAATGGGTTATAGAGCCATAAGAGCATTCTTCCATTTCTTCCTCTGTTGAACAGAGAAGTGCAATGCACAGAATTTTACCATCAAGGCACTCAGAGTATGATTTCATATTGGTCAAGTGTTTCTGAAATATTTTTAATGTAAAAAATTTAAATTATAAGGTTTTTTCCTTTTTCTCAGCCTGCATAAAAAAAAGTTTAGACTGATGAGACACTAGAAATGCAGAGAAAGGTACTATTCATTTTTCCAAGAGAAAGCTATTTGTTGATTTCAGACTTAAACCAAATAAGCTTTGAGTGAATGGAACAGAAATAGTTAGAGAACATTACTTTGAAACTCAAGAAACAAAAGCAAATTTAGCCTGGATTTCTGATAAGCTGCTTAAAGTCAAAATAATGAAAGTTTCTTATTAGAGCAGAAAGCAGTAAAACAAGGAAAAAAAAAATCCAGTGTGCTTTCTTGATTGGTTGAAGTTTTAGAAAAGCATGCTGCTTTCAGTTCCAGCAAAGTAGCAGTTTGGAGTCAGTCAGTGATGCTTTTCTTGTTTACTCGGTTGAATTTAAAAGTTTATCCTGCTTAAGTGGCCAAAAATTGTCAGCGATAATTGTATTTCAAAGGCTTGATGTGAAAATATGTGGAGAGTAAATGCCTGAATTCTGTGGCACTTTTCACCCAGATATGCAGGGCCTTGTAGTCAGAAAGTAGACTATACCTTCGACCTCAGCTGGGCTACTTACCTTGCAAGCACCGAGCAGATCATCGTGGCCAGCTTCGATGGCAGAGGAAGTGGATACCAAGGGGATGAAATTATGCATGCAATAAACCGAAGGCTGGGAACATATGAAGTGGAAGATCAGATAACAGCAGCCAGGTGAGCTACAGGGAAAGGTCAACACCTGCTCCTTCTTCTATGTGCCTATTGTGCAGGGGGAAAAACGGTGAGGGTTTTGAAAGGTCATCTTGAAATTATTGGCAAAAACATAAACATAACATAAAGTCTGCATTAATTTTGTTCACTGAAGTGTGTCATTTATAGACTAACCATCATTTTATGCTTAAAAAGAGAGAAGAGTTTAATGCTGTAATACAAATTTACCATATCTCTTATTTTATGAAGAGGATAGCTGTCACATTAGTAGAAGAACACGCTACAAAGGAACTTGGGAGATAGAAGTTTTACTCCAAGCTTTTTGCAAGTTTCTGTTGTGGTGAAGTTACTTGCATGAAATACTCAGCTTTTACATCATAGTTCATGTTTATCATTTGGTTTATGTTTGTAGAACATCACTAAGCCAAACAATCACAGTAGAAATCTTTCAGAATAACAATGCAGTGGTCTTACAGGGTTTCTGTTTGGGATTTTAAAATATTAAGGAGTTTAAACACATAGCATTTCACAATTTTTTTATTTTTTTTAAATGGTGACTGGATTTACATGTGTCAGCCTGTCCCTTTCTGCTGCAATTTGATCGTTGTGCATCTTTAAAAAAAAAAAAAGACAAAGGCAAGACAGGTAGTGAAATCTAACCTAATACAATACAAATGTCAGTGAGTGTAGTTCGAGGGGTTTTAGAGTGTCACATGCACAGATGTTTTTCTGAATTTCCTGAAGACACACGTACCTGAATTATTGTATGTTTTCGTACGCAGTTACTGTGATGAAGTGGGAAACACTTATTTCAACAATAGAAAGTGGCAGACTTGATGGATGTAGAATGGCAGATACTTGCAATCCGTTAAGTGTTTAATTATTCTGTTTGCTTTCAGAAAATTTTCAGAAATGAGCTTTGTTGATAAGGACAGAATAGCTATTTGGGGTTGGGTAAGTACTCAAATAATTTTGGCGGGCATATTATTTAATCGTAACAGCTGTTTGTTGTGCTGTGTGTGGGGTGCTGGAGCACTTCATGTGAGGCACCTCTGGAGTCACAGCACAATCCAACAACTGAACCAATGAAGTGCGTTTTACAAATGCCTGTATACAGTGCCCCTTTGCAATCATTCAGGAGCGTTTGTAAGAGAAATTAGAACTACTAGAGGGATTTAAAACAATTTAAAGGGATGCTGCCAAGTTCCTGTGTACAGGATGAACCAACATTAAAAAGAAACAAAATCCAGTATGTATTCACTAGTATCTCTTTAGTTGGATGATTAATTTTAAAAAAAAAAAAGGTGACATTTTATGCGAACCAGCTGTGTGGCATGGTTATTGTGGTTATTTCTCTAATTTGATGCATCTTTAAAACCTGTCACAGTAGATGGAAGTGTTTAATATCCCCTCAGCTGCAAGGCTAAGTGTGTATATAGTGTTAGTGATTCTGGTACTGGGCAGTCCTCTGTCCCAGGCTGATGTTTCACTGCTTTTTTTGGTTAACAGGGAGAGTTCTTGCATGTTCTGTTTAAACATACTATGTTTAAGTATATGCAGGATTGTATGCAGGATCTTGAATTAAATTGGTAACTGAAATTTGGGCACTGCTGGTGACAGGCACCAGTGAATAAATTGCTTGATGGCAAGATGATGATGAGGGTGCCTTTAGCAGCTTTTCTTCTGGTTGTAAACACCTCTGTTATATGAACTCTGTTATATTAATTGTAGTGGGAGAAAAATTCTTTCTGCAGAAATTGAGGACAATGCATTTGCATCTTAAATCCTTATGAGCCTTAGGATGAACAGTTGAAGAGCATTCGTCTTTGGAGCTAGGTTGGGATTATGCACTCAGAATACTGAACCTATGGGCAAACATTTTCTTTGTCTCTTGAGTTTTCAGATTGTCAGCCTCTCATTGTCAGCCTGTCACTGTGTACATTAATTTTGTTTGCCATAGATTCATCAGTAATATCTTTACTGTGAGTAGGTTAGGCATTTATACAGGAGTTTAATTACTAAGTGCATGTGTTACTTTGGTGATCTCATTGGGTGGACCTAAGAATTAAGCTGGAGCAAACATATAGGGACTGTCAACTAAGATGCCATTCCATTGGCCTGTAATCTGGTTTCAGGACACAGATGAGATCCAAAAATTGCTCCTTTTTGAGTGTGGGTGGGCACATTTTCCTAAATAACCCCTTCACAGTATCGTGAGGGAAGTCATTTGGGCAGTTGGTGAACGCATATAGGTATCTCGTTGCCTGGATACTCAAGTGTGTCAGATATTTACTCATCTGTGTATCAGGCTAGACTACAAGTAAATTTTCTGTGTTTACTGAGGAGTGTGTTGCTGTACAGTTCCTCCCACAGACTCAGCAGAAGATCCTTTGCTCCCAGTCACAGTCTTGCTCTTGACGCTTTGGGGGAGAGTTAAGGAGCGAGCTGCCATAGGCCTGCTCCTAGGGAACTGTAAACTTTTGGATGCCCTGTTGCAACTACTCATCAGGCACGCTGTGGGACAGAGCTCTGCTTCCACCCACTTCCCCAGCATGGGAAGGGACACAGCAGTTCAGCAGTGTCTTGTTTCCTGTCTTTCGCTGCTGCCTACGGTACTACCAAACACTGTCATCCTCAGCTGAGTCACAGTTCAGCAGCGCTTGCGCCCTTTTTCCCCAGCAAGTTCTCATTCATCAGTGCCACAGCTGCCATGCGCTGTTTGATGCCTGTTTCCCCGACTGAGCAGGCTGGCTGAGATCTGACCCAAATTCAGAATGGAGTTCATTAATATGAAAAACGCTGAGCCTATAAATGCCTGATGAACTGTGTAGCAGATGGGCCCCATCCTTTCCTTTCCGACTAAAATAACAGCAATGTTTTCTTCTCAGTCTTATGGGGGATATGTGACCTCCATGGTGCTTGGCTCTGGAAGCGGCGTGTTCAAGTGTGGAATAGCGGTTGCCCCCGTGTCACACTGGCAATATTATGGTATGTGATGGCTTCCTCATTACAAGGATTCCCATATGTCTTGCAGTGCACACGCTGCAAAGTGTTGATTCATAGCACAGAACTTTGATTATCTACTAGATGCCATGTAAATGCCACTTGGTCTGTTTTTATGAACTTGTGGCTACTGCATTTCAAAATTAATTCAATTTGCTAAATATTAATTCCCATTTTAAAAAGTCAGATCCATAATTTCCGGCAATCTCTAACTTTTAATGAAGGCTAAATTATTGTAATATTTGTAATATTACTGTAACGTGCCTGTGTTTGCTTTGCAAAGCTGCCATGTGTTCTGATACCAGTATTGTGTGTCAGAAATCCATCATTAGGTTTTGCATCTTCAAAATGCAACTTTACTTACAAGAATGAGCTGTGAGGATTAGCATTGAACTTGCATTGTAATTTACTCTCTGAAAGTAACAGAATAGGATTTGAAGTGTCTTAGCATTTGGGGGTTTTTGGTTGTTTCAGTTTGTAAAATTTGGATTTTAGAAATCTAATTCATCTTGAGAATAGCTTGATGTCAGGAAAACATGATCAAATGGGCAAGTCTGTATGTGCTTCAAGCTTATAGTGCATAATGCTATGCTTGAATGAGGCTACTAAAACAATTATATGGGCCCTCCTCCTAGATTAAATATATATATATATATATATAGTTATAAATGGGTGCTGGTACAATGTAACCACATTTTGATATTTTTCTGGTTTGGATTTGTCCAAAAGCATTTGAGAGAAAGCTTTCCCTGGCAAACCTCTGCTAAATAAGGCATAATTTATCATTGAGCGACTAGCGCAGAGGCTGTGTAATAGCTAATTCAGCAGATCAAATCATACTGCCAGGTATTAGCAGTAGTCTGTTGAGGACATAGTGATTCTTCATATTTGGGACATGAATATTATAGTATGACAGAAAATAGTTTTTCATGGTCAGGATCTCTCAAATTCCACTTTTAGTTGATTAGATAAAGGATTATGGAAGCATGCATATTCAACATGAAAAATCCTCCAGTGTGACAACTCTGATGAGAACTCAAATGGACATTAGAATATGGCAGCAGAGATTTGATTGTATGGCTTAAAACAAAGCAGCAATCTACAAAAAGGTAACATGGTGAAAAATATGTGGAAAATCAGAGATACTTAATTTTTACTGTGTATAACAGAGCCAGGATGAATCCTAATTTACTACTACAATTTCATTTTATAGATTTTTGGTAGTAAAAATTTAGATAAAAAAGCTAAGTTTTTTTTCAAATGCTCATTATTTACTGCAACATTTTCAGTAATTTTGTAAGCATTACTGAAGGAATAACAATAGGGAAACACACAAAGTACTATATTAATATTCAGCATTCAGGTGTCCATGGCAACAAGAAGATTAAATATTCTGAATAATGATGGTTACCTACATGCCTCATTGTGGAAAAACCTGGTTGCTTTTATTTTGTGGGGGTTTTTTTAGTTTCCAGTATGCATTATTACTGTTTGTATTGGTAAAATTTATGGTAGACAGACTGAATATTAAGTAGCAGATTCTAATTTTGTTTTTTTTTTCTTAATTACAGATTCAATATACACGGAGAGATACATGGGCCTTCCTACAGCAAGTGATAATCTGCAAAACTATTATGTAAGAAAGAAATTACTTTATTTCGTTCTTTAATGTTTTGTCTCATTTCTAAATAACTGTATTTTTCTTTAAACAGTTTAGTTACTTCCCCATGGGAAGCAATAAGTTTGCTGCTTCTTCTCAGCTAGAACCGTTGCGTTGTGGTTTTAGAGGCTGTAGTCTCATGTGTTTGGATTTGTATGAGGCAGCTTCTTGATGGATGGTGTGGGTTTTCTGTTGTTTGTTTGGTGTGTTGGTTTTTTTGTGGTTTTTTTTTTACATTCAGTTCCATTTGGGTACTTTGCAGACTGTAAAACGGGCTGTAAACACTTTTATTTTAATCACCAAGAAACAAATTTGTTTTAAAATTTAATATGTTCGTGGGCAAACTCTGCTTTATCTTAGACATTTTCCACCAAAATAAATGTACTTCCATTCCTTCTGAAATGTAGGTTTTTTTAAAATGGGGATTGTTAGAACTTTCCTGCTTAAGCTTTTTTCAGGGAAAGCAAAAGCTCCTCAATACTGGAAAACTTTGCCAGGTAGGCAAGTCTGTCTGTACTGTGATCATATCAAATTGCAGACCCACTGAGAGCCAGCAGTGTCAGGGCTGGAATTTTGGCCTGATCTTCATGAACACGGGGTGTCCAAAGTTTGTTCTAGAATTACCTGTGTTTGCACAGAAGTGAGGGAATTTCCACGCGTCCTAATGGAAGCAAAATACATTGTTTGTCCTTTTTCCGGCATGATGAATCATTTGCCTTACTCTTCTGTGTGCCAGTTGCTTTTTCTTACCTGAAGGGCTGTTTGAAGTCACAGGTAGCTGGGCACAGGGCAGAACAGCAAAGCCTTCTGTTAGGTTAAACTTCAGGTCTAGGTGAAAATACAGGGGCTATTGGAGAACTGTGAGGGATCCAAGAGGTACTTTGTGCTCTGGCTGTTGGAATGTTTCACAGAGGTGTTCAGCCCTGGTGATGCTGGAACCAAGCACTGATGTTAGAGGAAAGAGATGGGGCATTTTCTGTGTTTGGGTTGGTAAGTAGGTTAGAAGACAGTTTATCACTAGTTATGTGCATTAAAATAATAAGTGTGATGGGTAGGACGAAGGGAGGGGTTGTTGCATTGATTTAAAAGTATGATAAAACATATAAATACATACCTATATGAACTGAAACATCTGGTTTGACATATTACTACAGTAATCTAGTTTTGTCGACTGCTATATGAGGCATTCTGGTCAAGACTTAGGACAATGATAGTGACTGCTGGACAGCTTGGTACTGTGTTTGCCTCTTCTAACCAGTGAGCTCCTGGAGCCCACCAGGGACTGTCCAGCAACCTGCAGCCGCCTGCCTGCCTTTTTCCAAATGTATTTCTTTAAGGCAGTGGGAACAGTAGGAGGTCTGCGAGGTAGCAGTGTAAATACAAGTTACTGTCGCTGTGCAGAACGAACGTTAACACTCTGGGTGCACAAAGTCATTCACCAGCTTCACGGCACAGATGGCAACAGAGGACTGTTTAATCCTTTCAAGCCAGGAGTCGAATTTTCTTGGCATAGTATCTATTGCTGGCAATGGCCACGTTGAAACTGCCAGTACCAAAGAGCTAAAGGTTTCAAATGTGTTACTCAGAGGACTAATTGGGGAGAATGGTGGCTAGATGGAGGAGGAGTAATTGCATAGATCAGATTGTCACACTTCGCTGCTGCTCCTGGAGATAGGAAAATGCAACTTATATCCTCATTTGTTGTTAAAAGCTTCAAATTACTTTTACTTTACTTTTAACCTGGAGGGGTGGGGTAGCTCAAGACATGAGTTCGTTGCTTATCATGTAGCATCAGTGAAAGAGTCGTGGGATTTTGTTGTTGCTGAAGACCCTTACTGACTTCAACCCAGCATGTTTCTGGCTTACAGCCCCTTTGTTCTATGTCCCAGTCCCAATAGCCAGCCTCCTGGCCCCTTGTCGCTGATGAGAGCTGTTTGCTGAACTGAATGTTTTTAAAGTAAATGCAAAATATGTATTGAAAGCTCTCCTAGCTGAAACTGTTAAAGCATTTTTTAGCTGTTAACTTTGTACTGTCAGGTTTGCCTGCTGCATTATATATTCTCTCATTATCCTACTGCATCCGCTGTAAAGCTGGCATGAAAAGTGAAAAGTTGCGTAAACTCTGTACTATGTGCCCTAATTTAAAAGAATGAGGCTGTGTACCCACCTGCTTAGAGAAGATGCACACTGCTAGGCGCCTTCCTAATGTGCAGTGTTATTAATGACTGAATATATATTAATGACTGTGAATATATAGACTCAAGAAACTAGTTGTGGTAAGAGGGGCACATCCTACCTTTGTATTACTCTAACATAAGGTTTTACATTTATTGAAGGCAGAGAATCTGAGATGTTAAATATTCTTTGTCAAGAATCAAGTCTGAGGGATGACTCAGACTCCTAAGCAGGCTAATTGGGTGTGCTCAGTGTCTTTTAAGGTAGTTGTAAACTATTAAAAATTAGAGCTTTGTAAGAGAGGAGCAAGCAGGAATGGAGCTCCCAATATAATTGTGTAGAGATCCTAGGCAGAATGGCAGAGAAGCTGTCTACCCAGAAGAAAAGTACCTGGTGAATAAGACTTGAGACTAAATCAGGGCAGAGCTCTAGAGGTCAGATGCAGTAGCCATGTAAAGCATACCGAAGAGACTGTTCAACTTGTGAGAACATTATTTTGCAGTTCACTCTGAATTTGATATGCTTTTGGCAAGTGTTTGAAACAGTCATAGATTTGGCAATCTTTTTCTAGCAGATTTGAAATGTTCAGTCCTTAAGAACTGCTGCATCATTAGGTTATGCAAAACAGGGTACAATTTTGTAAATATGCCATCTTGTACTGATTTGACATTTGTTCTATTATCTGAGAATATGCTAAAGGGAGAGAGACCTTCAGTTTCAGCCAAACCTTAACTTGTTTGTGGAGTGCTGATAAAATGTTGACTGCTGCGTGATCTTTAGAAAAGCCAGTTACACTCAGCAGGGCCCAACTCTCAGTACTTGCGCATGTTACCTTTCTGAAGCCTTTGTCCCAGCAGTATAGCTATGAAATGGAAGGGTAAATAAAGTTGTATTTATTTGCTGTGCACTTGAGGTTTCTTCAGCTGATGTCGCTGTTGCTTTATCCTCTAACTGTGCCTAACTTGAGATTGCTCTCAGTCTTGCAACCTTCTTTAAGGACAGATATGTACTCTGTCCTTAAAGCATGTTTTAGGGAAGGGACTGTTCATGTTGAGTACGAGTACAGCAAGTGAAGCATCACAAGTGATAAAAATGCAGAGAAGGTATCTCTTGTGCTTCTTCTTTCTGAAATATTTTTACAAATAACTTTTATTTTGTTTAAAGCTTGGAGGGGAAAAATGGTGACATCCTTTTTCTAAAACTGCTTTTGCAAAGTCACATTCTCAGAAGTGTAGCTGAAGTCAGGCTTCCACTCACAGAAATTTTGCTTAAAACAGCATTGACTTGCTGGAAGAAAGCTTAGAAAAGTGATCTATCAAGTTTCCCTCTGCACATGTGGAAAATGATGCACTCAAAGGATACTGCTTGGTTTTTTGTTTTGTTTTGGGTTTTTTTTTCTTTAATATCACAGGGCCATTGCTTTCTGAATTGATTTTTTGGTCAACTGCTTTACCAGTGCATCAAAGTTCTCTCTGTGGATTTTGGCACTTGGAACTAATTGTTCTTGTTCCATGATACTAAATCATTTCCATGGATAGCATCATGCTTCCATTGCATGTGGATTTTTATATACTGGATGAGATTTCTGGTGCTCTGCAACCTTTGACTATCAAAAGAGGGCAACTGCAGTGTTACAGACTGGAGGGTGGGGGTTTTTTCTCTCTGCTGAACTTGTTATTTAGATTTAGTTGAATAAATACAAAGAATTCCATTCATGTATGAAAAGGTTGTGGTACACTATTCTGCCATGACAAAAGGAATTTAATATTTATACTTGCTTTAAAGATTCATGAGTGTACAAGAGACATAAGGAAATTAGAACACTTCTGTGTCTTGGCAATATAATGTATTTGACTTCTTGTGGGTATTAAATGCAAATCCTTGTGCAAGGATACAGCCTTAGTACAAGGTGGCAAAGAAAAAAACAAGCCACTACATTCTTCTGCTGCTAACTTTTACTATATTTTTTCTTGCCAAAGTAGCTGGTTGTTTTATCAAGCCTGAAAAGTCTTGTCCCTCTTGTACCTTTTCTTCTTTCCCTTCTTGTGGCAGAGCACTATGGTACTTCCTTTCCTTGCCCAAATTAAAGATCTTATTTGCAATCTTTACTGTCTTCATTCTTTAGTCACAGTAGCAAGTTGGGGCTAGTGTGTTCTAGGGAACATGTTACTGTGTTTTAAATTCTTTCATTAATCTTAGTTGCTGATTATTTCATCTTTTCATCACTGTGTTGTGCTTCCATTCCCAAAATGTAGCTTGAGTTCTATTTAGGAGATTTGGTTAGTGTGTTTTTCCTTCAGGTATTTCTATTTGGAGAGAGCATTGTTTTAAACTTCTTCAACCCAATTTTACTTGAGACTGAGGAACTATTTGCTCTGTTGACTTCCCCGCAGGTAAAGTAGTATACATTTCAATGGGGAAGATAACGTGTGTGGCCTCTGCAGGATCTACTCCCTGCTATCATAGGGTGCACTGTTGCCATGGCAACATTTTTTTTTAACTTGTCTGCAGTCACACAGGAAACCTATGGCAAGCGGTGTGCTGCAGGCTAACAACGTTAGCAACGCATTAAATGTGTACCTCGCTCACAAAACTCTTCCCCTCTGGAACTGCCTGTTACTTTGCAGCCATAACCCTTGGTAATAATTGCAGATGGGTGTAGAATGATTTGAGCGTAAGCACGCTGCTGCTGGATGTGTGACCACGCTACTTGGTGGTTCGGAGAGGGGAAAGCAGGGGTGGTTGGCTTTATCTGAAGGACTCCAGACTGTGTCAGCAGGAAGCAAAGTCAGTTGGTAGCAAGTCATCTTCTAATAAATAGCATCTTTTTTCTTTTTTTTTTTCTTTAATTTCAGAATTCAACAGTAATGGCCAGAGCTGAAAAATTCAAAGAAGTTGAATATCTCCTTATTCATGGAACAGCAGATGGTGAGTTGCAGTTAATTAGACATTCTAGTTTTACAGACAGGTTCGCAATTCTACTACTGACAAAACAAAAGCATGAAGGGGCAAGGCTGTTACATTTATGTCAATAAAATAATACTGCTTTTTGCAACTAATCTGTGTTTCAGTCAGCAGTGATGGGGAGTCTAGAGTGTTCATTGCTTTGCTTTTCCCCCAGAGTATTACAGAAGCAATTTTTTGTTTACCTTTTTCCTCTTCCACTTTTCAGATAATGTTCACTTTCAGCAAGCAGCACAGATTTCCAAAGCTCTTGTTGATGCCGAAGTGGATTTTCAGGCAATGGTATGGTCCTGTTTTATTTATCATTATACAAATGAGTTTGTATTATGAGAATAATAGCATGAGCTCCCTGTGGTTAGGTATAAATTCACTGCCATCTTAAATGAAAGTTCACGTACTTGCATTTCACGTTCAGTAACTGAAATCTGTACATAGAGCACCTATGTATTTTCTGCATAAGAAAAACTCTTAAGCAACTCTTTTTCATATTTGACCCTGTTTACCTAATCTTTCATTTTGTTAAACTTTTTGTGTTCTCAGACAAACAGCCAGTCCAAATCTTTGCATATACCCAAGTGCAATGAATATTACCTTACAGATAGAAGGAAATGTTAGCTTCAGCTAAGTTCGTAATAACCTGTCCATCGTGTTTGGGGTTCATTGATCTTGTAAGAGAAGCAGCTATTTTCCCCTTCTTATACTGTCCATGGAAGATCTCAGACTAAGGTGCAAGCTCTTCCTTTCCTACATTCTTCCAACCACTGGTGAGCAGTGCTAAGAAGGATGAAGTATAGAAAGAAGCCAAGTGGACCAGTGCATGATTGTCCTTCAGCCAAACTTGCAGGGCAGACAGGGGAAGAGGTGAGGCACCCCTCTTAACAGAACAGCTGCATCTACCCTCCATGTGGACAAGCCACATGTTCTTTTATGCCTTCAGCATAAATACATATATGTATTATATATGTGTATATGCCACACACAAAGCCAGCACAAAAGTGTCATAGCAGCTTCCTACCCCTTCATGTCTTTGCCTCCATGCTGAAGTCCTCATGCTGGGATAATTTGAAATGGCTGCACACGTTATTATGTCTATCATGTTTGATTTATATCATTTAGATGTAGCTACAACTAACACTCTCTGTATTTCTCTTTCACACAGTGGTATACTGACAAAGACCATGCCATCTCCGGTCAAGCACATAAGCATATTTATACCCACATGAGCCACTTCATAAAGCAGTGTTTCTTGTTGCCCTAGAACCAGCATTTTGCTTGTTAGCGATGGTACTTCTCCAGAAAAAAACTCTAGATCATGTACTCTGAGCCAGTATAAATCAAGATGAGATAAGAGTTAGCTCTTGGGATACCAGTGTACACAATAAAATGCATATCTTTATGATTTCTGTTGCCAAGCAACTACTGCATTTTTATTGATTGTGGTTAATCAGCTCTTAACATCACCAGAATGATGTTGCAGACTTCTAGGAAGCATGGTACTTCCTTGAGTTTTTGATTAGTTTTTGACATTTCAGTCTAAATGAGAACCATGCAGTTTGTGTATTATGGTAATGAATGATAAAAATGCCACAGAGGAACCAACATGGAAATCAGTTGCAGAATATAAGTAAAGATGTTTCCATCAAAAGTGAAATGTACCCTGGGATCATTTATGTGAAAACATTGACAAAAAATTTTGAAGGAATTCTGTAAGGCTTGATAATTATTATTTTAGAATTGTCATCAGGAATACTGTGATGTTATTTTCTGTGCAGAATGAAAGGCTGTTTTTACTGCTGTTCCTTAAATTACTGTCTTCTCTGCAATCTCTTGGATTACAATTGTAGAAGTCTTGCAAGGAAAGCATGTATCCAGCTTTCATCAAACATTTTGAATGATACATACTCAAACCAATGTCACTGCATTTCTTTGTTTTGCTATTATTATATAGAACTGTGATTTTTTTCTTATTTTTATAGTAAAAAAGGCTGCTACTGTGGGAATCTGCTCTAGTAGAATCTTCCCTGGGAAATCTAGAAGACCACCACTGGTTTTTTTAAATGTAGAAGTTTCTTATTTACTGATGAATAGGATCTGTTCCTTACACTCAAACATAAAACATTACAATGAAAAATAGTAGTCACTTAAAGCAAGGGCTGGACCATCGCTCTCCTGTGAACATGCTCTTTGGCAAACCTGCTTTTCCTTACAGCCTACCAGTAAATGTCTGCACTATCTTCAGCATTTCCGGTAGGCTTCTCCATCTGAGGATAAGATTACTTTTCTCAATTTCACATAGCTAGAAAAGATGCAACCCACTTGTACTAAAAACTGTTCTGCTTTAAAATAATAAAGACATTAAGTCATAAAGAAGGTGTATTCCATATAATTGAAAATGTTGCTTTAGAAAAAAAACCTCATAGAGTTTTTACAAAAATCCCCATTAATTTTAAGGAAGACTTACAGTGAAGCTTCTGCTTTTGTGTAATGGTATCATGTAATGGAGTGTGACATGATTATCTAACACTTAACTTCTTGATTTTACATGCCAGCATGTGATTATATCTGTATTGTGGGTTATTAGTGGCATTAGGTGTGAACGTAAAAGTAATCATGCAGACAGCTAAAGTGTGGGGGAGAATGTTAAGACACTTTGTGCAGCTTATCCTTAAATGATAAAAGAGAAAGGAGGCTGAGGTACAAAATAAGGGGTTTTTTTTCATAAACGAACCACCAATCACTTGACCCACAAAATAAGGTGTTGGGGTGTTTTTTGAAACATGTTGGAGCTAGCTGGGTTTTACAAATACCGTCTTGGTTTCAAGGCAGGAGTGGTTCTAATACAGACTGGCACCACTATTAAAGTTCTGTAGGAGTACAGGCTGTCAGTTGTCTCCAAGAGGTTATAATATCACATCTCTCATTCTTTTGACTCAAGGGAAAGAAAAATAAATCAGTATAAGGTAGATCACAGCAATACACAGGTTATAAAAAAAGATTATCATTATGAACTTAAAGATGGCTTGTCTACGCAAGAGTAATAGTTGGGATTTATTTTAATATTATCACTCACAGTGTCATAAAGACAAAAAACGTATTTCTGTAATCCAAAAAACTACTTCAACTAGGCTCTCATTAAATCATTAGTGTAATCAGAGAAGGATTTTTAAAAATAACTAACTAGAAATTATATGGTCTGGGTAAGTCTTTCACTAAGTAAAGATGCAATTCTTTGCATCTGACGTACCTTAATGATGCTAGCATCTCACGGGGAAGCTCTTCTGTAGTCTTATTACATAGTCCTCTTTTAACTGTCTTATCTACAAGCCATAACAAAATACAGTGCTAATTATCTTAAATTTCTTTGTCTGGAAAGCAACTTATATCCTGCTGATAGAGAATGATGCAACTTTTAAAATGAACAAAAAAAGGTTTTATTGCTACAATAAGTGTCCTAATAAACATCAATTCAGTGTCTGATTTTTCACTCTAGTAGAACTCCCTCAGCTCCAAAAATTATGCAAGCACTAGGATAATAGAGCTCCCTCAGGGAACTGAGAACATGCTTGAACTGCATGAGCATGGATAAATACCCTAAAACTGAGGCCGCAAAACAAAGTCAGCTCATTCCATTATGGTACAAATCCAGAAATCACTTATGCCTAAAAAAGTGCCACATGCTAGTTAGTTAGGCAGCTACCAATCTCCTTCTTGCTCTGTATATTTTTCCTATGTGAAAGGGATACTTAAGTTTGTTGTAATACACTTTGTGTAAAATCTTAACAGAAGTAGCTGAAACCTGAGGTGTGACTGTTACCATTCTTAGGCTGGAAGGCTTATAGTCTTTGGTTTAAAAATTGGTGAAGAAACTCAAAGGGATTTAAGTAAAATGTAATCAATACTGTAAATAATACTGGGCTTTAAGGCGTAAAAGTTTTTCAGTATCAGAAGTTTAGGGTCCTGAGAAGAGCGGAAGCACTGAGGAATTTTCAGTTGTATGACCTTACCTATTAAACTCTAAAAAGACCCAACCACTCCTGCGTGGTCTGCATCATCTCTCTCAGGAGCAAGGGGGACCAACTCATGAGTAGTAAATTCCCATTCTTTTCCTCCAACAGGGCAGCTGTGTGCTATCCCCGATGTCACACTTACTGTTAGAGTCAGAGCAAGTCACCATCAAATACACCCAGTGAGCCAACACTGACAGTGTTGCATGTTTCAGTGAAATGGAGCAATACTGGGCTCTAGCATTCATTAATTTGTGAAGCAAAATGTCAGGTAGACATTTCGAATACCATATCATATTGCAAACCTGTTCTGAGTCTTGCAGTGTAAAAATAAAATTGAAAATTAGTTAGGATAAATATTTATTATCACATAACATATCTTAATTGTGAAAAACACAATAGTCTATTCACATGTACACATAAGCTTTTGTAATAAATTACATCCAAGAAATTGAGTAATTTTGACCAGGAATATGAAATTAGAAGTAAATATAGCACTACATCTGCTTTATACTGTGTGTGATGTCAGAATGTTAAGATTAACATTGGAATAGCATTTAAATTCACGCAAAACCAGAGTGTTTTAAAATAAAACCTCTCTGAAATACTGAACAGAAATACAGAATGCCATTGAATACACTGACTTCTTAATATTCTAAGAGTTGGTCAAGTGAAGCTAATACATTTTGATTGTACACATTATCTGTAACAAAGTCAGCAACATGTTAAAACACCATCAGGCTGCTTTCAGGACAAACCAGTATTGAGCTCCTATACTAACCTTAAAACAACTGGAATCTTACAATTTATCATCAAGTACACAAAACAAAGCATTTAACCTTAATGCATCAGCATTTTTTCCTAAATTTACAAATACAAACATTGAATTAAATGTAAATCCTTCTTTGTGTCCACTAGAGGTTTTTTTTCTTCATAAAAATGGCTTTTAATGGGCTTTAATAATGTTAAGGTAAATTTAGAACAGTGACCCTATTAAGTTTGCAGCAAAATGCAATTATTTATGGCTAAAATAGTAAAACATACACCCTCACATACACAAAAACATTAGAATACTTTAAATGTGGATGGGAAAAATTGCTCACATGAGATGTGTAGAAAGATTAGTATTTTGGAAAGCTGGTGAATGTTAGAGCCCTGTGGATGAATTATTACAAAGATTGCAATAATACAATTCTTATTTTTAGAATTCAAAGTAATAGCATAATAATGAGATTTAGCCTTCATTTTAATAATTTAAAAATTTACCTTAAAAAGTTTAAAAATCAGTGAATTCCAAATAACACAGTAAAACTTAAGTTCCACATCTCTATTCATTCAATACCTAATCTTGCAGTCTTTTACACAAAAGAACAGCTTAAAGGATCAGGCAGTAACAAATTCCGTTATGAAAAATGTCTTTGTAATAGCTTTAAAGCCTCATTTTACTTAGCAATGTTGTTTTTATCTTTTAATCAATACGTACTTGATGGAATAATGAAGAGCTGTAACAAAACAACAGCAGGATACCCATTTAAGTATTATACACAATCTCTGAAACTAAGAGGTTTACAGTTGTTAGAAGACAGTATAAATATGCCCTTTATGTGGTTGAATTTTAGGCAATAAAGAGGAAGATTATTGGGCAGGTGATATAACTGCATGTGGGGTATAGTTTGTGTAGTTTGTACAAAATTTTTCCTATTATAAAATAATGGATTTGTTAATGATAAAATGCATTTGTTTGGCCCTACCACGGCAACATTCATACAATACAAGATACTGTCATCACAGACTGCATTTTAAGAAATACTGTACCCATGTTTCACATCAAAGGGTGTTTTTCTACTAAGGTGAGAAAATGTTTCAATATATATTTATATATATATATATATATATATATATATATATAGGACTATGTTCCAGTTACATACAAATTTTAATATTAAATACACTGTATTAAATCAAGGAATACTTCCCAAATACAGAATCTGAACCCCGCAGTCCTCATTGCAAGAGTAATCCATGACTTCAAAAGGACAGTTTAAGGAGGAAAGTAGTGTCCTTGTTAGTTTGTTCATAAGGTCAGATCAGTTGTTATTTTATAAACTTCTTAATGTTTGCTTGTCAATTTGGGTCTCCTGAAATTATTTACTAGAGTTAGGTGATGTTTTAAAAAAATTGTAACTAGGGTTTTCAAGTTCATCCTGAATGAAGATTATTAAGTATTCTCACACAGAAAAAGTAGCAAAATACAGTACAAACCTATTAACAGGGAAGTGGGATTTAAAAGAAAATTTGCTTGTTACAGTTCTGATACAGATACTGATAAATGGCCAATATCAGCAATGAACACAAAGATTTTTTGCATTGGCTACTGCAGACATTTACACAGATACTAGACAAGGTAGACAAGGTGAAATGAGACAAATATTGCACTACATTACCTGTGCTAGTTTGAGATGAAAGACAAAAGTTACAAGGTAAATCATTTCTATTTAGTGGTTGTGGCACTCCTGTCATTCGTTTGTAAAAAAATTACTTGAAGAACAAGTCATAGACAAGTCTCCCGGTCAACACCTTTCCCTGAGTCAGCTTTCTTCTCTTTTCTGATTTCAGCACTAGGAAAAGAAGGGGAGGGGGGAAAGAGTTATAATAGCACTATCTTATGTATATTAATGATCTAACCAAAAACCAACATTACACAGATATTTTATTTTTCATGCTGCATGGCACAAACTGGGAAAGCAAGTGAAAATTTCTGTGCTAAATGGTGCAGAAGACATCAGCCAGCATTTTAGTGACAAGGTAGGTAGAGAAATTAAGATGTACAGAGACAAGTCAGCCAGCATGCAAGCAAAGATAGCCACTTTTTTTTCTTTTTTGGCAAATACAACTGTTAATTTACTAAATAATGGTAATGGTACAGTTCTCAGACAATACCAGCACATTCTTAAATGGCACAAACAAGAGGTCACAATAAGTATTTCTTGTCTTTAAAATGTATTCTGTTGCTCAATGTACATTTAGAAGGAATGTTTCTGAACTAGAGCAGTGCAAGCCAATTTCCAACTAATATTTGGCTTTCGGTCTTGATTGGGGAGAGCAGAAGGCTGGGGAGGGTGAGGCAAGAGAGTATTCCCCATCTGGAGTTTAATACATACTTCTTCATGTATACATTATAAAGAAATAACTTTTAAAAAAAAAAAAGCCTGAAAGATCACACAAAAGCCATATCGCTCAGAACTCCAAACCAGAGTTCAAATTTGGATTCAGCTTTTTTTTTTTTTCCCTGGTTAAAACACTGTTGATTTGCCTACAGAAAGCAATATATGTACAAAGCAAATGTTTTGGGTTTGAGGTTTT